CGTTTTGGTCCTCATTATTTTCAAGAATTGGACACCTTGTTCTGTTTTTTGTTTTTTTTGCTCCGTCCTCTTAAAAGGAGTCCGATGCCATCTTTTTCTCACAGCTGCAGGTGAGACAAACACCTCGTAGGGGGCTTTCTGTGTTCACACTGAACTGGAGAACTAACAAGAGGATACTCTTCTCTAACCAAACAACTCTGCTGGACAGGATTTAAAACTGGATCTCAGCTGTCAGTACCTGACTTGACACGTGTTAAAGACCGCAAGACTCCTTTTTGACCATATTCAGAGTGGAGAGCAGTAAAGTAATTTAAGAGTGACGGAAACTTGGTCCCAAGTTTATTCCTTGCCCGTTCTGATCCAACAGGCTCAGATGTGTGTATTTATTTACCATCATGTTTTGGCAGTAATATCTAAGATGTAAGTTTTCTTCATTTTTATTATATATTATTTCAGTGTTAATTATTGTTGTTGTTGTTTATTATAAAAGCTGTGTAAGGATCACCATGGTTACAGCATTTGTAAAACAATTGTATAGATTTACCCATCATCCCTCAAAGACATAACAGTCAATCAGGACTCTCCTCAATGCACTTTGACAAATGTTCCTTGTGTAAATAAGATTGTATACATTTGACTTGAATTCAATTTTTTGCTATGGTTGGATATCGTACCGGGGTTGGAGCTCAGATGTATTTAACAAGAAAGAAAGTTGAAAAAGTTTCCAAAAAAAACAACTGAATTTGGTAAAACTATTTTGTATGTTTGTGTGCTGTCGCCGTGAACTTTTTCTAGCCTTGTACAGTGATGGGGGGACACTATTACAACTTAAAGCTCTGTATCTGTGACGAAACTGATTTGCAAATCACTTGAGAATTAAAACCTAATCCACAACGTTGTTCAAAACATGGTGTCCTGTCTTTGCTGTCATTCATCCATATGCGTATGTAAAGAGATGGCCAATAGGTGTGATTAGGTGTGTCTACATACTAGTGTAGCTTTAGTCTTGGGCTGTTCATGGTTTGGACCCCTTAGCTCCAATATAGGGAAATCTTAATGTCGCACGATACAGTGATATTTTGGACAGTTATGTGCTTCTAACTTCAACATGACAAAGCTCCCTTTGGTGGAAGATGTGCTCAGATCCTTTACTCAAGTGAAAGTACCTCTATAACAATCTCAAAAATACCACATTACATGTAAGAGTCCTGCATTAATCTACTCAAGTAAAAGTACAGAAGTATTCTCAGCAAAATGCAAAGTATGAAAAATACATTTTCTACAAGACGGAGCCCTTGTAACAGATACCATTTTTATATTGCGTGGTTACATCATTAATGCTGATGCATCAGTGTCTAAGTAGCATTTTACTGTCTTTTATATCTATGGTCATTTCTTCCAGTGGTTTCCAAACTGGCGATCCAGCTCCTCCAAAGGGTTGCAATATAAATCTCAATATAAGCGGTCATGAGATCATAAATGGGAGAGAAAAGAAAACCAAAGTTCTGCGACACATCTGTTTTCATTGTCACATTTAACATTTGAACAGAAATTAAAGCCATCTCAGACGTTTAGAGGGGAAGTGTCTCTGGAAACTCAAATATTTCCTTTGAGGGGTCACATGCAAAATGAGCTTGAAGAACCACATTTAATATTTAAAATTGTAAATGGTCTGTACTTGAATAGCGCCTTTCTAGTCTTCCAACCACTCAAAGTACTTTGACACTTTCACATTCACATACATTCTCACACACTGATGGTAGAGGCTAAGGTTAGAAGCCAACTGTTCAGAAATCATTCACAAAGGGATGAGACAGCCATTGGGAGCAATTTGGATTCAGTATCTTGACCAAGGGCGCTTCGACATGCAGACTGAAGGATCGAACATCATCTTCCGATTAGTGGGCAACCCTGTTCCACGCCCTGAGCTCCAGCTGCCAATAGTGTAAGATTATCAGTTGTTTGGTATTTAAAATCTTAATCTGAAAAGTAACAATTCAGTTGCTGTAGTTTGTCAAGTAAAAGAGACAATATTTTACTCATAGTGAAGTACAAGTAAAAAGAGACATTTAAGGGAAGTACACTTACTTACCTTCCACCACTAAATAACCCTGTGCACAAAGCTAGGTCAATGTAAATGTGTTTTTTTTTGGTTTAATTAGGAAGATCTTTGCTGGCCATCAGAGCCCTGACCTCAACCCCATACTCCAGTGACTTGTGACATTACTTGGACTTTTGACTTGGAATGACTTGTTATCCTTTCCAAGCCCAGGGACTAAATGTTATGTTATAAAGAAGTACGTGTGTGTGTGTGTGTGTTAGGAATGTGTCGAGGGTCCAACAGGAGGAAACATGTTCGTGAAGTAAAGGAAGTGGGTTGAGACTGTGGCAGAGCCGTTAAGTCGTTTCATTTAGAATGAGTCCGGCTCCATCCAGTCATTATCCCTGTTGAACTGCAGTAAGGATTAATCCCAACCTATCTGACTGCTTGAGATATCAGCGGGACAAAATACGTCAAACACACTTAGATTAAGGCAGAGATCTGTTACATATACAGGACTCAGGGGCTGTCTGCCTGCAAATCTAAATTGTTCATTGAACAACAAATTTTGACATCACTTCTTTTGACATTGACAACATGGAATTAAACCAAATTAACCCAAATAAAGCGGCTCCCCCTGTTCCCAAACCCCAACACAGTCTTTAAATGGTAATTATGTTGTGTACATTTCACAGCAGGTGCCTTGCACACTTTGCAGTATTGTTTTACCTAAACCATATAGAATATAAGATAATCTATCCATTATAGGAAAGAAATATTAATGTTTTCTTTAATTCTTTTAGTTACAAACCCATGCACTCAACAAAGCCGGTTTTCACTTTAATGTGAATGATACCATGACAAAGATCTTAACTTGACGTTAGCGCAAATAATTTACCTTGACCTTAAATTTAGTAATTTAACCTAACCATAACATGATGATTCACCAAATGTGTTCCGTTACTTGAAACTCAGAATATGTACAAACTGAAATTAAGGACAATCAGAACACCTTTAGTGAGGCTATGAGTGAGTAACTTTTGTAGCCTTGCAGGTGCCTGTCTCTAGTGATGGCAAGGTCGGTCCACCTCATTCTGGACTTAAATATCTCCACAAATGGATAATTTGCTATGACATTCTGTGCGTATTTTCAAGGACCCTAGATGATGTCTCCTTATTACTGTGGAGATGCACTGCGCTGGCTGTGGAGTAAGTCTTGATCCTCTGTCGTCACCTGTCTGCAATGCCCTGAATGAAAAAAACATAGATATTATTAAACACAATGTCTTTGTATTCATTTGGGATTGCCTTTAATCTGTGCCATCCAAACCCAGATTTGTAAAGTTAGATGTTGCAGTAAGTGGGAGGAGAGAGAGAGAGAGAGAGAGAGAGAGAGAGAGATGGATGGATAAGAGGATAATAGTGTTTAAAACTTTAAGCACACAGATCATCTCAGTCAGCTGCATACCTCATCACTCTGTGTGTGCATCTCTTCTTTTACAGCTGTGTGTGTTGGTGTATGTGTCAGCTGTGTGGATGTTGATTTCTTCCTGAATTTGTGTGAAAAATCTTTACATGCATGTTTACTCATTGGTGTGTGTATGTTTGAGAGGCATATGGTGTTAGAGTTTCCAGGATGTCTCTCCTTGCAGGTTAATCGATTTTTAGGTTTAAACACATTCACATTTAGCGGCGACTATGCTGACCCACCTCAGAGCCCGTAGCAGGAGTTTGTTCCCCAGCTACAAGCCCGGCAGCCGGACTCAAGCCATCAAAGAACCGGCTGACTGTCTGGACTTCACCAACACGTGTATTAAGCCATGGAACTCTATGCAGGTCAGAGACTTCAGTTATTCATGTTTTTTTTCTCCATATGTTCTAGTTTTTCTAATTTACAGGATTTAGTTTTCAAATCTGAGAGAACTGTCCCTGTCAGTCCAGTGGATTTTACTAGAATAGATTAACATTTTTAATCCTCAGAGGAAAATGTTCAAAACACAATGTATTTATTAATAGGGCTGGGCATTTGGCCAAAAATGTTATAGCAATAAAATAAAAAAAATCTTTCTATATTGATAATTATCACAATATAGGCTATGTCCTTTCATTATTTCTTTGAAGTTTAAAGGCTGATTTCCTGAGTGAAAGTTGAAGAAACCAGATGGTTAATTGTGGTTTTAAACTATTCTTTATGGTCAGAACAAACACAGGATGCCAAACAATGGATCCCTTAACATATCTGAGGTAAAACATTCAACACAATTATGAGAAAATCTTTTTTTAATCCTTTTTCGTCAACAAAATAAAATAATAATTATTAATTAATAGTTTTAAATTAAAATGAACTGCTAATTTGTTCACAATGCAAATTAAATCAAACCTTTATTGAACATTTGTTATTATAGAAAACTATATGCGATATTAATGATTATTGTTTCATTGCCCGGCCCTAATTATTGATGGGTGAATGGATAAATCAAAGAAAGCTTTTCACAAAACTCTGTATCAAAGTCAACACATTTTTACTGTTTATTGGTTAGATGTTAATTAATTATTTTCATTTTGGATTAATGTCCCAGAGCCTGACATGCTCAAATTGCTTGTCTGACCAACATTCAGAACCCAAATACATTCAATTTGCAATGAGATAAAACAGAAAAAGCAAATTTACCTATGTGAGAAGCAATTAATAAAACAATTGTATATTAAACAATTCTGTCAACAGATTTATCTGTTTTTTTCTTTTCAAATAAATCAGCTGCCATAAAATAGAAACGGGATGCCTGCAGATGCATCTACAATATGGAATTTAAATTTATTTGAGTCTCTTTGTTGTTTTTTCGTCTGGTTTTCTTTGTATTCTTATATTATTACTCCAATTTTTTCCATTTCACACCCAGTTTTTTCCATTTCTCACTTTTATTTCTTTTTATTGTCTCATTCAACTTGAGTATGCGCTTGAAATGCTGAATTCATCAACATTCTTTTTATTTGTGAAGGATCTGGGTAGAGACATCTACGATCTTTATGCTGAGTATGGAGATGAGGAAGAGGAAGAACAATTCCTGGTGTCTCCCTCCCGCCTGCAGCGCTCTCCAACCAAACACTTCACTCTCAACATCAACGTTGGTGGAACGGTAACTTCACTTCTACAGCAAACTGCTTGACTGGATATGTTAATCACTTACTTTATAAGACAGGAATTACCTCATTGCACTAGATGGCAACTCACTCACAAACATACTCATTCACATTTAGCAGGCTGCAGATTCTCCCCTAGGGGGCGCTGTTCTAGACCTGTGAACCTGCAACACCTGTGGGAATGAAAAGCAGCACCAATAGAGGAGGCTGAATTTTAGGACCGCACCATTAACACCGCAACCGCAGTTCAAGGACCATAGTTTTAATTGGACAGCAAAGTTAACGTTAGCTAGCCAAGATGTGAGTAGATAGCAAGCTAATTATGTTAGTCTTACCCTACTGAGGGTACCTACTTAGTCCACTGAGCCCGGCAGCATTGCGTTACGCCTCAGTCAGTGATTGTATGCATGTCATTTGTACTTGGCTTCCTACAGGCAAAGACAGAAATAGCTACTGTCATTTTATTTCTTGTGCCACCTGCTGGCATTGTGTGCTACAGCAACAGTTTATTTTATTTCTATAGCTGCTGTTTTCTTTGCAATTTAAAGGTGAATTAATTTGTCATTGTATTATTGTAAATTGAATACATTTATCGGATCGGACAAAGCAAGCAAACCTTGGGCTCTGAGAAATTGTGAATGGCAATTTTTGACATTTTGTATACTGTCAAATTACTTAACAGGAAGAATTATGAACAAATTTATAAATAATGAATTTGGCTTCTAGTCAAATAACCTATGTTTGATTTTTATGAATCTAGTCAAGTTATTCTGTAGTTTGTGCAGGTTAATGACATCTGAACAGACACAGATAATCTGGTCAGTAATTAAATGTGTAGTTTCACATTTTTCAGGCACATTCAAATTATCTTTCTTCTCTTCTTTTTCAAATGTAATATTTCACTTTGATCACTTTCACTTTTTCCTCTTTTCCAGGTGTACCACTTGTCCTACATGTTAGCTGCCAGGTATCCCAAGACAAGGATTGGCCGGCTGGCCACATACACAAACCACAGCAGGAAGTTGGACCTGTGCGACGACTACATCGTCCAGAGAAACGAGTTCTTCTTTGACCGGGACCCTAAAATCTTCCACAACATCTTCAACTTTTACAGGTAAAATAAAGTTCATTGTAAGATAAAAGATTATAAAATTGGGCAAACACTTAATGGACTTGTGTACACACACACAGTGAGTTTCCCTCATCTTTATATGACCACTTTAAATAATTGTGGACCCCATTCTACTCTCTGTCCTCTCCATCAGAACCGGAGTGTTGTGTATCAAAGATGAGCTGTGTCCGCGCAACTTCCTTGAGGAGATAAACTACTGGGGTGTTAGAATCAGAAATAGTCAACGCTGCTGCCGCATCTCCTTTGAAGAGAGGCAGGACGAGCTGAACGAGCAACTGAAAATACAGAGACAGCTGATAGCAGAGGTAGGCTCGCATTGTGCATTTTATAGGCGACATATATAGCAATTGTAAGTCGCTTTGGATAAAAGCGTCAGCTAAATGAATAAATGTAAGTGGGGTAGAGACTCATGTAGGCCTACCTGTAGCTCCAGATTTCTGAATCAGTGTCGACATGCCCAGATTTGTCAGCAGAGCCTCTAGTGGTGTTCTGGTCAATGGTCTTTTCCCCATGAGAGAACCGAGATAATTAGACTTTGTGTGACATTATTAGCCAATAGACAGCTAGTGGCATCTGAAACACAGTGTTTGTTCACCACCGATCAGTTGTTGTGTCGTTAAAGGTTCAGTGTGTAAGTTTTAGTGGCATCTAGTGGTGAGGGTTGCGAATTGCAACCAACGGCTCTCACGGCGCATTCACGTGTTCCTCAGATGGTCCCATTTCTCGAGTTGTAAAGTCGTTCTTCTGACTTTCGTGTGTACATGTGCTCTTAAGTAGTAATGTGGAATCAACATGAACGTTACTACAAAGATGTGTTGGATTTGCATTATCAGAGCGTATAGACAACATGCAGACATCAACGATATCTTACATCAATTTAATTTCCTAATCCAACAATAAAAAGGCTGTGAAAACTTTGGCCTCTTGTAATATATTTATATTATAGACTAGCCTGGCAAAGTTTTTATTATTTGTGTCTTTATATATATTGTTGTAAATTTGTATACTTTTCTGTAATACTTTATGTCCCATGTACACTTTATTTCTCTTTTTGCAATAAAGATTGAAGGAGGGAGAAAGAATTCTGATTATTCCGACACCACATGTATGCACCATCAGTCAGCGCTAAGCACTTCCTTTCCAAGCGTGCAGGAGAAGCTACGGTGTCCGACACACTCTGTCGTTTTTTGTCCAAATTTCACTTCTCTTCTTACTTCTAATAAACCAGAGTAGACTATTACTAATACTACTTCTTAGTACGTATCCAACAGAGTGACAAAGTAAGAAGACCCGTAGTGTATGTAGATAGAAATGTCTCATTCTAAGGTAATAAAAACACAACGATTCATTATAAAGGGTCTTTATACACCGCTGAAAACATTAGCATATTAGCAGGTCATTGTGAGTTAGCACAATGCTGATGTTAGCATTTAGTGTGTGTACTTCTTGATATTTTGTATATAGAATTTTCATTCTTATTGCACTTCACGACATTTCAAATCACATCCATTACAGAGTAAGAACAAAAGTAACATGACCCAGTTGGAACTAGTCCCTATGAACTATGTATTGACTTAGTATTTTGTGTGCACTAATTATTACATTCCCCCCCTCCAGGCTCCATATGTAAATGCTGCAAATAAAAATGTCAAGAAGTCATCACTGAGTAGCTTTATCAGCTCAGCAGTTTTTATTTTTACCTGTGAGATTTTAGTCAGTAAACTGCTGGCTGACTCTGAGTCTGTCTGACCTACATTATATATCAGCTCTCCGCTCTGCCGTCTCGACAGATGGAGAGTGGAGAATAAGCTTTTTCTTGGCACAGGCTGAGACAGATGTTGCCATCACAGAGGTCCCACTCTGATGCAGTTTGTTGGACCAGTTGTGTTTTCGTGACATTTTGTTTGCTTGCTTGTTTCGCTTTGTCCTCGTTTAAATTAGTTTTTTTAAACCTTTAATTTACACATTACTTATATACATACATAGTTTTTATGTGCTCTTTTATTTTACACTTAATGAGTAATCTGTTTTGTTTCTGTTTTTATCCTTAGATAGTCTAGGGAAAAAAATTCAACATTTAATTTCAACATTAGGCCATATTTGGACTGTTTTTAAATGTATTGCAATGAAACTTTTTTTCTTGTTTCCATTCTGTAACCATATTTCTGTCTCGTGTCCTCTAGGTGGAGATGGAGGAGAACGAGGCGGTATTTCACGGCATGGCCTTCGGACCAACCCGAAGGAAAATCTGGAACCTGATGGAGAAACCGTTCTCCTCGGTCTCTGCCAAGCTGATGGGGGTCGCCTCCTCCATACTTGTGCTGGTCTCGCTGGTCGCCATGACGCTCAACACTGTGGATGAGATGCAGTACAAGGTGTGTGTGTGAGAGAGAAGAGGAACGTTATGAGAAGATTATTTATTTACATTCTTTCATCTGTTGCATTGGTGTGTGTGTGTTGAAGAGAGAACAATACAGTTTCTGGTGAACTCTGGTGTAAGTGGCTTTACCTTATTTACCTTTAAGTCAACAAGGAGATAATATTCAGTTTGAAGATGATGAACAGCTGTTTCTGTACAAAGGATGTAGTTGAACTTAAATCACTATATTGTTTGGGGGGTTTTTTGTATATGTTAAAATTAAGTAATGTGGAAGGTATTGAATTACAGCAAACATTTAGACACATTCAGCTTTTATATGTTATGTATTATATATATGTACATATATATGAGCTGGCATGTCACACACTATCTGTAAATCTTTCAATTAGCTAAGATTGATCACACAATAGTCTTGTGAATGTCACATTATTTATTTACTTATTTTCTCTACCAGACGCCGTCGGGCCAGCCCAGTGGCAGATTCTACGGCGAGTATGTTGAGACGTTCTGCATCACCTTCTTCACCCTGGAGTACCTGCTGCGCCTGGTGTCCACCCCCGACCTCATGTGTTTTGGACGCAGTGTCCTGAACACCGTCGACCTGATCGCCATCCTGCCGCACTACCTGCAGATGGTCCTGGAGTGCTTCGAGGACGACGACATGCATCTGCACTCGGGGGACATTGAGACCGTGGCTCGTGTTGGAAAGGTATAAGGAGGCTGGTGGGAGAGATGATGATGATGAATAAGATGAGGATTAGATTTATTTGTTTCATCCTGATTTATTGGTTCTTCTGTTTTTTTGTTTTCTGTAGGTGGGTCAGGTTCTAAGGATTATGCGTCTGATGCGAATCTTCAGGATACTGAAGCTGGCTCGTCACTCGACAGGCCTCAGAGCCTTTGGCTTCACACTGAGACAGTGCTACCAGCAGGTCTGACTACAGCTTGTGTCAGCTAAGCCAATTGGAGGACCAAAAAAGGGGGAGAAATAACTTTTTACTTGTATTTCCATACATGGGTCCTTCAAAGTATGTTTTAGATCTAGAGAGAATTTGATCAAATTTGTAGGAGGAGCTTTTTGCAAATGGGCTTGGTCTATCTGGATAGATATCTAGGATTTCTATGACTCGCAGTTATAAGCAAAATAAATAAAATTAACATACGGAGGAAATACAAGATTTTGTTTGTGTGCAGGTGGGCTGCCTACTGCTCTTCATCGCCATGGGCATCTTCATGTTTTCAGCCATGGTGTACACTGTGGAGCACGACGTTTACAACACCAACTTCACCTCCATGCCGCAAGCATGGTGGTGGGCCGCTGTGAGACCACACACACACACACACACACACACACACACACACACACACACAAAAACAGATGCAACATTCAAACTGTCAGTTTGCTTTTTTTATCTGTTCTCCACTTATTCTCTGTTCACTGTGACTTGCATATTAAAAACTTAAATGTATATCACTGAAATGTATATCACCTTCAGCCAGACAAATGACGCAAAATGAAGCGATGTGAACAGCATTGTTCATGTACTTGCTTGTGGTTCTTTGTGTGTCCCTGAAGGATGAAATAGTAAATCCACTAGGACGCAGATCAGGACCAAATCATCCCTGACTAACACCAATTTATTCCTTGAGTATTTAGGATTTTGCACATGTAGTCTGCTGTTGATATTCCTTTACACCCTGATATACTGCCTCCACTGTCTGGTTAGGTTGCATCTTGCAGAGGTGTTCCGTACAACAGTTGCACTGAGGGAATGCCGAAAAGCTACACCTTCTGTAGCCCATTTGGGACTGTCTCTTCCACTGGGAGGGGATGCATAGAAAGGAATACATTTGGGACTGTGTCTCACCCAGTGAAAGAGAACCCAAACAGAGCTACAACATCTCTAGTGTGTTATATGGTATCTTGTTTTGTTTAATGTGGATAGTTGAGGTGACTCTTGGTCTTTGGTGTATCAGGTAAAAAGTTGTTTATGATTGAATCCAGTTGGTTGAACCAGTTGGTTAGACTGGGGTCATCAAAAAAGTGTAGTTTATTTAGGAAAATATGGTCATTCTGAATGCAGCAATTCTTCTAATTAATGAAATAAGTAAGTTGTTCCAGTCTTATACGCTGCTTTGGTATTTAATGTTGCCCGTTGTTATTGCAAAAGGAAGTATTTACATTTCCAGTCTTCCCCTTTTAATAGTAACATTGTAGAATAGATTTGTTTATGGAGTAATGAGAAATTTTGAAATATTTAGATATGAGATTAAAGACTTCTGGCAGGAGTGCTGAGAGGTTCGTAAGTATAAAAATACACTGCTCAAAAAAATAAAGGGAACACTTAAACAACACAATGTAACTCCAAATCAATCACACTCCTGTGAAATCAAACTGTCCACTTAGGAAGCAACACTGATTGACAATCAATTTCACATGCTGTTGTGCAAATGGAATAGACAACAGGTGGAAATTATAGGCAATTAGCAAGACACCCCCAATAAAGGAGTGGTTCTGCAGGTGGTGACCACAGACCACTTCTCAGTTCCTATGCTTCCTGGCTGATGTTTTGGTCACTTTTGAATGCTGGCGGTGCTTTCACTCTAGTGGTAGCATGAGAAGGAGTCTGCAACCCACACAAGTGGCTCAGGTAGTGCAGCTCATCCAGGATGGCACATCAATGCGAGCTGTGGCAAGAAGGTTTGCTGTGTCTGTCAGCGTAGTGTCCAGAGCATGGAGGCGCTACCAGGAGACAGGCCAGTACATCAGGAGACGTGGAGGAGGCCGTAGGAGGGAAACAACCCAGCAGCAGGACCGCTACCTCCGCCTTTGTGCAAGGAGGAGCAGGAGGAGCACTGCCAGAGCCCTGCAAAATGACCTCCAGCAGGCCACAAATGTGCATGTGTCTGCACAAACGGTCAGAAACAGACTCCATGAGGGTGGTATGAGGGCCCGACGTCCACAGGTGGGGGTAGTGCTTACAGCCCAACACTGTGCAGGACGTTTGGCATTTGCCAGAGAACACCAAGATTGGCAAATTCGCCACTGGCGCCCTGTGCTCTTCACAGATGACAGCAGGTTCACACTGAGCACATGTGACAGACGTGACAGAGTCTGGAGACGCCGTGGAGAACGTTCTGCTGCCTGCAACATCCTCCAGCATGACCGGTTTGGCGGTGGGTCAGTAATGGTGTGGGGTGGCATTTCTGTGGGGGGCCGCACAGCCCTCCATGTGCTCGCCAGAGGTAGCCTGACTGCCATTAGGTACCGAGAGGAGATCCTCAGACCCCTTGTGAGACCATATGCTGGTGTTCCTGGGTTCCTCCTAATGCAACACAATGCTAGACCTCACGTGGCTGGAGTGTGTCAGCAGTTCCTGCAAGAGGAAGGCATTGATGGTATGGACTGGCCCGCCCGTTCCCCAGACCTGGGACATCATGTCTCGCTCCATCCACCAACGCCACATTGCACCACAGACTGTCCAGGAGTTGGCGGATGCTTTAGTCCAGGTCTGGGAGGAGATCCCTCAGGAGACCATCCTCCACCTCATCAGGAGCATGCCCAGGCGTTGTAGGGAGGTCAGGGAGGTGTGATTTTGTTGTCAGCACATTCAACTATGTAAAGAAAGGAGTATTTAATGAGATTATTTCATTCATTCAGATCTAGGATGTGTTTTAGTGTTCCCTTTATTTTTTTGAGTAGTGTATGTCGTCTGCATATAAAATGATTTTGTGGTCAAAGTATCTTGTTTGTTTACATGTAATACAGTCATTCTGGTGAATGGCAGCTGCAAGGGTTTTGATGAAAATGGCAAATAATAATTGAGAGAGTGGACATCCTTGTATTGTTCCCCGCTGGAGAGTGAAATGTTGTGAAGTGTGATCATTAATGATAACAGATGCAGAGTTATAGAATTTTGACCTATTGAATGAACAATAGCTACTAGCTGCATGGCTAAGTTAACTAATGGCAGCTAGAATTAGCAGCAGTTAACGGTTTCTTTAAAGATATCTATCTGAAACTGACTAAAATATGATCCAGTTTCACCAAAATCAACAACACAGCCATGCTGTCACAGCGTGTTGTTTTTAATAAAGAAGAAGAAGAAGAGAGAGAGAGAGAGAGAGAGAGAGAGAGAGAGAGAGAGAGAGAGAGAGAGAGAGAAATGTGAATTAGAGAAACAACTTATACGTAAAAACATTAGTTTAAAAAGCTCTTTGTGGGGGAAAAACTCTTCTCTCCCCAAAGGAAATCTCTTACCACAAGTAAATGTATGAGTAAGGCTGACATCAATTTTAAAGTCTATATTTGGAATACAGAAACAATCATGTCCTCAACATCTAATTTTTTGTTTTTTGTCAGGTTTATATTTAGTATTTTCTGGTTTACCCTTTCTTCCTCGGTGTCTCCTTCATCCTTCAGGTGAGTATTTCCACAGTTGGCTACGGCGACATGTTGCCTGAGACCAACTTGGGCCGAATCTTCGCCTTCGCCTGCATCTCCTTTGGCGTCATCCTTAACGGCATGCCCATCTCCGTTCTCTACAACAAGTTCTCCGACTATTACACAAAGCTCAAGGCTCACGAGTACACCGCCGTCACCAAGGCGCGCGGGAAGGTGCACTTTGCCAGGAGGGCAGCAAAGAGGTTTGCCGAGTGCTGCGAGGACACCGTTCAGTCGAGGACAGCCCACCTGCAGTGAGCCAGGTTATAGATTTGCAAGTCTACGGTAAGATTTGTCTGAAAGGCAGGAGTGGCAGTCAGGATGTGATCAACACAGCAGAGACGGACATTTTATGGAGTAGTGGGACTGGAAATAAGCCAGGGACATTCTGTACAGGCCTTCATACCATTAATAGGACCATGACAGGAATCATGGCAGTTTGAACCAATAACCTGCCAAGAAATCTCCAACTCTCTGGACCTCAGTTAAAACACTTTTGAGTTCAAAATGTCACTCCACGTCCAGGGTCAGGACTGTTATTGTTCCTGAAGGGACATTTAATTATCCTTTATCTATCAATCCCCTCTGTCTGTTTGTTCCTGTTCTGCCTCTGAACTGTGCAGGTGTGGTGTAAATACATGTTGTTAAATGTGTTTCTTTCATTTGCCAAAATGTTATATACTCACCCATTTACTCTTATTAATCGACATAGATTTTTCCAAAGCTGTCTGTAACATTATTGTCACTGACTATGTACTCGTGCTCCATCCGCCATCTATCCATAAGTCTCTAAAGCTCACAAGTAATCCAGGACCCAGGAGATAATGACAACAGGACTGAAATAAATCATAAGTTGACATCTGGACAGTGGATATTAGAGCTGTTTATCTGTCCCATGTGTTTCCCTCCATCTAATAATAAACCTATGTCTCTTTATCTTGTCGCCATAAAGCTGTTCAGCTCCCCCTCAGTGTGTGTGTGTAAATGAAGTCACAGGGTCATCGCTCTTGAACGTTATGTTTAACACTGAATCCCTAAGCTGAAGTGATTATACTGAATCATCAGTGTCACTGAGTGAAGGTGGTTCAGTAGTTTTTAGCAGTGGAGCTCCCACTCAGCTGTAAAATATCAGCTAAGTTGTAGAACAGTATGTTTGTTCTACGTTATAAACTTACTTAAGGACCTTGAAATCAAGAAGTCATCATGTGGTTTTTTTTGGTGGCTTATAAGCTGTCGTGTCTGCACCCAGCAGTTAAGCTTAGCATAACGACTGGAAACATGGGTCTGTCCCAAGGTTACACAAAAAGTCACTGCTCCTGGCCAAGAAATAGCCTGGCACATAACCCCCCCTCAAAACTACAGGTTGTTGTTACTTTTGGTTTGACAGAACAGGTTTTTGCACAGACTAAAACTCACTAAACACACTTTATCTTGATTGTTTAGAGGTGCAGGTATTTTGTTACCTTTGGACAAAGTCAGTCTTTAAGATGTCTCCTGGCTATTTAACAGACACACATGAGAGTGGTGGTGTCCTTGTCTAACTCTCAACAAGAAACTAGAGTATTTCCCAAAGAATTCCTGTAACTTTATAAACAATGGTCATATATTTCATGTTTTCTGCTGAAGTGGACATAACAGTTGGAAGAAGCAGCAAAACTAACCTGCTAATGAACTAAAGATGGTGTTCTTAACGGTGATGCCATCAATTATTGTCTTTTTTTACACTTGTTGGTACCGTATTTTTCCCTCATCATTAATTTGTTTTGTTTTTTATTTGTCACAGCACACATTTTGACAAGTGACAGTAGGAAAAGGTGTGAATAACAAAATGATGGCTAAATTCCATTTAGCTGCTTTAGTTTAAGGGCCCTGGTATTGCACATGCTGGCTCACTGTGACAAGTTCAAATGTCTGCTGTAAAAAAGACCTAGTGTCATTGTTTTGAAGGTGAACTTGTGACTGAGTAAGAAGTGTGTGTCTAACAGTGATCACACTGAAGAACAAGCTAGTCATTATCTTCATATTGTGGGGTGAAATAAACATTGCGGTCTCTCTAGAGCTGCTAGCTGGGCGTCACAAAAATAATACACAAAAATAAAAAACAATATCTGTCTGCCTGCCTCAAAATGAATTTATGATATAAAATAGTCTCTTTAATTATTGTTGAATTTGCCATGTGTGGTACGGAACTTACTGGTCTCATTATCACTACAACCAATCAGAATTGAGCAAAATGCCCAAAATGGAAAATTCAGATCAGCTTAGTAGGAGGTGAATCCATCAACTATAACTCTGCATTTCCAGTGAAAAATATAGATTTCATTAGGATTTACTTTTAATATCAGCAGGCCTGGACCCTTTGGATGCTTGCTGAGTCACAGAACAGCTCCAGTTTCTAGGTTTATTAGATTGAAAGCTTTCAATTGATGGTTATAGCGTAATGGATAATACACATACCTTTGGTGTGAGAGACCCGGGTTAGATCCCCCCCTGTGACCCATCCACCAATGTGTCCCTGAGCAAGACACTGAACCCCTAGTTGCTCCAGAGGCGTGCGACCTCTGATGTATATAGCAATTGTAAGTCGCTTTGGATAAAAGCGTCAGCTAAATGAATTAATGTAAATTATTATTCACCATCAGTTTAAAAAAGTATCAGAGACAATTAAGTACTCAATCATTTTATTTTGCAAACACATTTTCTTTTCAGTGGAAGCAATTATAACTCACAAGGTACAAAATTTTACTAAAGACAATCTGAAAATGAAGGTGGCACAAACAATCAGGACTACTGGACAGAACAATCGCCAAAACCCCTTAAAGGTTCTAGATAGCCACTGTTTTGTGTTTACTTGTCCAGGTTTTGAGATAATGTACTGAAATAGAGTTTTACTATGACCACCTAAATTAAATTCCATTCACCTTAGGCAGAAATCTCCTGACTATAAAACACCCAAAACCACCTGCACAGAGAGACGAGATAGAAGAGGACAGTGGTGATCTCTGTGATTTGGTCAAATTGAACCTATTAAGCTCCTTTGTCCGCAATCCATACATTCTCCTCTACTATATATTTCCACAGCACTAGCTCCAACAGAATCATGTCATATTCACCAACTGGCTGCTCTGAGTTTCTCTTCTTTAACAGAAATACTGTTATTCCCTCACTAACTACATGTATATCTAGGTTTTTTCAGTGACACCCACCACTTCCCGCAGATATTTCACCTTAAAAATACTTTTTTTAACCAGGTGAGCTTTTAATGTGAAATACATGTTGAGTGTCAGCGATAGAAGCTTAACAATGACTGCAAAACGGCAAAGTAGAAGTGACTGGGAAGAAAAACGTATTTATGTAAAAAAACAATCAGAGTATGACTCCGTTGTTGTACTGATTCTATTAGTACAACAGACCTATGAGGATTTATGTTATGTGTACTGTTCATGTGTTGTAAAACTAACAATCTGTGTATTTTACCTGTTTTTATATCCTTATTCACACATTCAATTCTCAATGTTTCCACAAAAATTCACGTCCGTTCTTTTCCAGCAGGGATGAAATGACCTGAATGTTCCAGGTTGTATCCACTTCCTGAAAACATTCCCATGTGCAGCTACAAACACTTGCAGTCCTGTAGGCGTTTTGTGGAAAGGGCCCACTGCTGCACAGACGGTGATGCGTTTTAACATCACCAGTTTGTTTGAAATAAAAAAAAAAAAAGTCTCTACTTGTTTAGATTCTTCAGCAGGATTTTAGCTCCTTCGTTGTTGCTGATGCTGCTGAGCTCTGGTTTGATGGACTCGAGCGTCGCCTTCACCTCGGAAACCACAGACTTGTCACAGCTGTTCAGGAGGCTGCACACAAGAACACAGGTGGAGACTTCAAAAAGGCTGCTTAGCTTCTGACCAGACACTGCATATCCAAATGTTTATTTATTAGTTCATTTGAAATCATTTTTTAGCAATGTCACTTCTACACCAAAAGGAAAACATAGTTTGCAAACATTTGGACAGTGCAGCTCATGTGATGACGAGGCTTAGAAATGTGATTTGGTTGTCAGCCATTTGTAGTTCAAGGATCAGTTCACCCACATACTGTGCGCAGGGAGAGGAACGCAGCATTCTGTCCAGAGGTGCGCTGCAATCTTAGTGCCAAAAATGTGTGTTTCGTGCAGCCTGCTCAGAGCAGGTCAACAGCTCAGCACACTTTTATTCCTGTTTTTTTACTTGGTAAGAAAAACACCCATATAAACTCTGAAATCACACAAACCCCTTTATTCATGTTTTGCTCGTCTTTCCACTTTCGTTCTATGTTTTTCTACCAGCTCATTTGATCACGCATAAAATTACTTTTATTCAGATTATGGCATTAATGCCAACAAGACAGAATAAAGATTAATGAGTGATTCTTAACAGTTCTGTCATCTAAGACAGTCAGTGGCGTACTACTACTGAGGTCTGACAACTGGGCAACTATTTTGTTCCCAGATTGACAGCAATTATTTTGCATGTAAAACAGTCAAATCAAACTGAAAGCAACTTTAATAATTCCAGAAATCCAACATTTGTGTCTGTATAGTGGGACTTAAGTGCAGATGGTTAATCATTGCGATGACGCACCTAGTCTCCAGGTTACTCTGGATAATCCACAGACTCGATGGTGAAAAGGTTTCTCTGCACTGAAATCCTGAAATAGACTCTATGAACACTTCCTCACAGAAATCCACACAGAAAGGTTGTGGATTATCAAAAGAAATGTTTTTAATGTAATTTTACCAATCACCTCTACTGTATTGGGAAAGCACAAATCACAAAACCTGGATAAATAAAGATACAATTAGAGGGAAGCAAGAAAATGTGTCTGTTTTGTGATTTTGGATGAACTGACCCTTTGAGTAACTGAATTGTTATATGTCATCAAGGTGTGTGTGTACACACACTGACCTGCAGAGCACCATGGCTCCTCTGTTGACTTTGACCCAGCTCTTCATTTTGTCTGTTCCCACTGTGTCCACCAGTATCCTGCCGAACCGTTCTGAAAAGGTAAGTGAAGTAGATGTCAACAGAAAGACAGAAACTTCCCTGATTTCAATTTAATTTTGTAGAATGTTGGGCCATTGCTCATCACTTTGGCGCCCTCTTGTGGCCATTAAGCCATTTTACACTTTCACATACAAATAGAGCCAGTACATGTCACTTGCTGCTACCACAAATAGAAAACAGTCTTAATTTGGGAAAAGGGTTAAATGGTTTTATATAGTATAATAGATAAAAGATTCTTTGAGGGTTTAGGAAATCCATTCTTTTATAAAGATCAACATATTTATTTTTCAGAAAGACAGATGTTGAGAGACTATAATCCAAACTGGGGTTCATTAGCATATTTTATAAATACAGGAAGTGACTCATTTCCAGACCAGATTAACATTCATCAAAAGAGAATGAACAATTACTTATTTTAGTGAGCATCTTTCAGTGCATCACCTATTAAATTAACTAACAAAATCAAAGTTTTTTAGTGACTTCAAGTCTATAAATTCATTTTTAGAACATGCTGAAATAAACTGAAATTAACCCTAAACTGATGGGATCATTTTAGAAAATGGTCGGCAGTGATTTAAAGTTAATGCAATCTGAAATTAATGAGCTCAAACATGTAAAGCCCCAGTATGGCCCTTTAACAAGCACATTATCTCCATTCCTATAATGACTGTCTATAATCACAGCAGTTTACAGTCTAATGACGCAAAGTCCTGTAGTCCTGTGTTTACCTTCCTTGCCAGCCTCTTCCAGTGTCATGTCCTGCTCTATGAGCCATTTCAGCACCAGGTGTCCTGCTGGATGCTCGGCCATGTGAAGCTGCGGTAGAAAAACAGAGTTCAGGGTGCAGAACAGCAGACAAGACCGGCGGTGTACTCGTGGAAACCAACAACATTATGTTAGTTTGTGAAGAAAACCGTCCTGGTAGCTTCTTTTGGTAATAATAATAATAATAATAATCTTTATTTGTGGAACACTTTTCAAAACAAGTTACAAACTTCTACAAAGTGCTAACCATCCTATCCATAATAAAAGGACTAAACTCAAACTGCCCCCCCCCCCTTACCTTTCCCTTGATCCCTCCTGGTACCAACTCCTGATTGGCCAGCTGAGCAACAGCTGTCATGGCGGGCTGCAGGTCCCCGCAGGCTGACGCCAGGATGTCACTAACGGTGACGCTGGTCGCCTTGTCCATCGTCATGGCGGAAGCGTTGTCACGGAGATACTCCAGCAGTGGAGGGGAGATGACTTCCAGCAGCTCCTTCCTCCGAATCGCCATGTCCTTTTTACTGATGAGAGGAAGACAGCGTGACAAATCAACAAAATCCACCTATGCAGGCTTCAAACTTGAGTGAGTCGTGTTATTTATTTAATATTTTGGGCTTCATCAGTTTCCAGCTAAAACATTTAGACCCTGGTTAACTGTTGCTACCTGTGTGTGTTTCCGTCTCCTTGCTCCAGCACCTTGATGATCTCCGGCAGCAGGTGAGCAGGGTCTCTGGGGCTCAGCAGGTACAGCAAAACCTTCTTACCATATTTATTACTGATGACCTCATTCAGAGACGACAAGATCTCCTGGACAGGTGGCAACAGGTGAGATAACATTTTTAGACGATAACTACAACTTTTGTCATATTTCTAATCGTAAGAAGTTCTTTTTCAAGTGATACTTGGTTTGATTTTTAGGAAAACTGCAGTCACTATTGAAATAATCAGGATCTCATTGAGCATCTTCAAATTACAAGGCTTCAGACTTACTGAGAGCACGGCCTGTTTGACCAGCTTTGTGTCGTCCACACAGTCGAACATGGCCAGAAGAACCAGGTGACCAAACTCTCCCTGCGGACCAATGACAGGCAAGACTTCAGTTCAGGTTTGCTGAGTCTACGTCTGGGATAATGACTGATGTCTGATGTTTCTACACATGTTCTCAGCTGGCTTTGAGAGTTGAGTGCAGTATTACTTTGACTCTTTCCTCTAATAGAACCAAAAACAATCCCAGGCTAATCATGTTTTGACAGCTTGTAATGAATGAATAGATGTAGCAGCATTGAGAACTCACCGTGGCAAACTTCACTATGTACGTCTTCATAGTTTTGATGATGACTTTTCTGTCCTAAAACATAAAAAAAGAAAATGTTCGCTCGAAACAAAGACACTGTGCATGTACTTTTATTTTACTGTAACACTTTCATTCCCTGCCATTGAATGACTAAATTTCTGAATGTAATACAGAGATGTGGATATGAAGTAGGGGTGGGCGATACTATGATATCAGAATGTGAACGAGTTTCTTGATGAACAGATACATTTAACTTTTTGCTAAACCGCAACTGTTTCCGTCTGTATCTGTAGCTAGTTAGCTTGGTTAGCCGTGCTGCTAGCCGAGTCAGCCAAAGGGTGCCAAGAGCCAAATCCGGAAAGAAAACCACCTCGGTCCTGTATTCCCTGCTGTCAAACTGGTCACTGTTGGTCTCGGAAGCTGTGTTGGGTCCCGGTCTGGCCGCAGTGTTCACTCACTGAGAGCTAACCAGGCTGCACAGAGCACAGAGTCTGTATGATGGGGAGGGGGGGGGGGGCGGTAACGCACATTCAGGCTATTGGCTACTGTAAACGCCAATCAATATCGCGGTTCGATCCCCGGCTACTCCAGATAGTGAACCCCGAATTGCTATACTAATACAGAGCATTTACATATAATACGTAGTTTAATATCAGACCCCCACACAAAATTATAAGAAAAAATATACGCTGGTATATAGGAGACGTACTTAGTGATGACATGTATATAACGTTACACAGAGGATGTATGCTGCAAACCCCCTTTCTCTCATAAATGTCATGTTTTCAGAGGCACTATCCACACCTCATACGCCTGCACTACTTCTTGCCAACAACTGCACTTTATGCGGCTCTATCTAGCATCTTTTTTCCAAGATGGTAGAGGGTGTGTCTATTGTCGTCCTATCCTTGTGGCCTTTGGCCTCACAGCAAGGTCGTGGGTTCAAACCCCGGTTGCCCAGGCTTCCCTGTGTGGAGTTTAAATGTTCTCCCCGTGTCTGCGTGGGTTCTCTCCAGGTACTCCGGCTTCCTCCCACCATCCAAAGACATGCAGCCTAGGTTAATTGGTGACCCTAAATTGTCCTTAGGTGTGGATGTGAGTGTGAGTGGTTGTCTGTCTATGTGTGGCCCTGCGATGGAATGGCGACCTGTCCAGGGTAATGTAAGCTGGGATTGGCTCCAGCCCCCCCTGTACGCAGGATAAGTGGTTCACGATGGAAAAGGACAATAAAAGCTGTACATTGTCATTAGTGTAGTCCTCTAATCTGTGAGTTTGAGCCTTGCTGCCAACAAAATAACAGCTAAGCTGTTTGCTTTCTGTGTGTGCGTGTTCACCTTGGCCGTCCCGTGCCACAGACAGTGCATTGCCACTCGTGCTCCGTCGTGTGTGTGAGCCATGTAGACCACCGACTCTCTGATCGACTCGATCATCTCCTGCGCATGTCCAAAAGAATACAAACCAAAGAGACAGTCGGCATTTTAACTTGACTTTCATTTAGAAATGATAATTAGCTCATATGAAGCTTTGTTTTTTGAAGCAGCTTTCAAGATTTATTTTCTGTTTTCTGTTACACCACACCGTGTCTTTGTTAAAAGCATTACTAGAGAAATGTACAGCCATACAAATTTTTATTAAATATAAAGCCTTATGTGAGACGTCAAAGAGCAGCTCACCGTTCTCTGTTTTTCTGGAGCAAACAGGAAGAAGTCCAGGAAGACTTTATGGACCAGAGAGTGTTTGATCACTTGTTCTCTGAAACACAACAACAGAAGCTGTAATTACATGGAATAAATTCTACATAGTAATAAAATGCAATCATCATATTAATTCAAATGACATTTATATATAAGAAAAGGGGGAATTAATGGAAAGAAGTAAAGACAAATAAAGCTGCATACATATTATTATACTTATGTTTTTGGAGTTTCTTACTACTTTTAACTTATCCAAGAAATAAATAAGCTAACTTTTAGCTAAGACACCAAGGGCAATTCAATTCAAAGCAAATGTAAATTTATTCATCACAAAACTATCATCACATTTAGCTCTTCCTTCAAAGTACTGTTTTACTTGCAATTAACATGATTGCAGGTTGCATTATCCTCTATTTGGGTGTATTTGGGGTGTTGTTTTTTTTTTCTTTACTCTGACGAAGGGCTACAAATAAAGACTATTATCTCAAGTACATATTTAACTATAATATATCAGAAAACAATGCAAAAGGTCCAAAGGAAGATCTTTAAATGACTTGTTCTGTCAGTCAGATTTTAATATAAAATGGTTTAAATCCTCACATTAGGGAACCTGGTTCCAGAGAATATGGTTGGCTTCATAAATGACTTCAAAAATTCAATTACCAAAAATGTTGTTTTGGTTAGTCGACTGACGCTGGTCACCTTTAACAAAGTAACGCTGATTATATATTTAGTAAAACGTGTGTTGTATGTTTGCGTTTAGCTGCTCATACTTATTTCACTTTAGTTCTCTTATTTAGTTTTCTCGTCTTACTTCTGGGCCATGGGTGTGAGAATCTGCTTCATCTCGTCGATGATGTTGCTCAGCTTGTCCGGGTTCGCCTCAACAACTTTGTCGATGGTGTTACAAACTGAAGACTGGACACACAGGCAGACAAATGTTCACAGTCAATTAGCCAGCCGATATATGGAAGCAGCCTAATGCCATTATGTGTGTGTGTGTGTGTGTGTGTGTACCCTGCAGACAGTGAAGGTGTTGCCATACAGCCCCTCAGTAAGCATGAGTCTCTGTGCGAGCACGGCTTTGTCGTTGTAGGCGTACTCGATGATGGTAGAAGCGGCGGCGTGGCGAAGCATCGGCCGCACGTGACCCTTAAATGTTTGCATCACAGCCGCCACCAGCTCCTTGTTTCTGTGAAGGAAATGCATACACACTCCTCATACACACTATTTAAGCACATTGAGCTGACTGTATGAATAAAATTGCCTTGCCTACTGTGTGGAACACAGAGCTTGTGTCTTGCTGATTTAAATATGGATGTCTGTTCTCAGAGAGGAGAAGAAGAAGAAGAAACCACTCTTAGCTGACTCACCCGTACATCAGCAGTTTTTTCACCACGTGTCTGCCGTACTGCGACTTACACAAGCCGATGATGTCATCTGTCGGAGACGACAAAGTTAACTGTCACAAAAATAAAACCAGGAACTGGACAACAGATCAGCTCCCAATCCTCCATCCATCACACTCATGACTCAGGCAGTGCCGATTCCAGCTTTGGGAAACAGCAATGCGTTTCCTGTTTACAAAAATTAAGGATGCGTGCCCAGCAGGGGGTTAGAAAACTAAGGGTGTTCCTCCAGGTTCAATTTTAGCTCCTTTATTTATAAATAATACTGGAAAGGACTTACAAGCTGCTAAATTGTGCCTTTACGTGTATGACACAGTGAAATTTGCATATCTTTGTGTACAAAGCCATGCTGAGTAAAGTGCCAGCATATTTATGTATTCTCCTGAAGCTGGATTCCAGCAGTTTTCATCTCCGTTCCACCAGGTAGCTCTCTTACCAGGTTCCAAGGGCTTTCACTGAGCTGAGGAAAAAAGACTCTTATTTTGCTCCCTGGTCAAAACTTCCTACATCTAAATGATCTAGTCCCACTACTTTAATTTAAAGCCATGTTAAAATGCAATGTAACTGAGAAATGTATCTGCCTCATGTGACCTGGATTAGTCCCTTTCTTTTATATGTTCATTTTGACTATGTTTTATTTATATTTAAGTTTTAACTACTGTGCCGTCTTCGCCAGGTCTCCCTCAGAAAAGAGATTTCAATCTCAAGGGACTTTCTGGTTCAATAAAGGTTAAATAAAAATGAAACAGAAAATGTGTTTTTCCCCCGCGAGAGCACACATCTGTTCACAATCACATCTGTTCCACTGAACCCGGGTCTCTCACACTGCGCCATCACCCCCCACGTTTCTCTCTTTATTTTGCTTGTGTTTATTGATATCTATGTGTGTCCATGTTGGAATTGAAACAACAGAACAGCTGAAAGTTAAACAGTGACAGTCTGCGACAGCTGAAATCTCCAGTTGTAAAACAAGCACAAAAACAGCCATCTTCAATTGTCCGTGTGATGTGACCACTCGCAACTGGTCAACATGGGAATCGCAGACACGCAGACACAATAAAGGGCAGTTAAAAAAGCAAATGAAGAAGCCAAACTTGTCTGCTCACCTTTGAGCTCCTCAAACGCTTCCTGTCTCTGCTCGTGGCTGCCGAACTGGATGAAACACTGCAGCACTCGCACTGAGTCGTGAGCAAACGCCATCTGGAGGCAGGAAAGCACAGTCAGTAACGACGGCCCTCGAGATTTTGGAACATAAAACCAAAATATGAGATGGACCTGTTTGGGATTTTTCTCAGTACAACAATGTATGACTCTTCCTGTCTGACTGCTTGTGTTTCTTGACCCTTTGGACTACTTTTTAGCAGCGTCTCAGCGTTCCTAAATCTCAGCTACCAACATAGTACGATAGGCCTTTAAGCTTCCATGTTGAACCATTTGTTTATTGGTGTATTTGCAGATTTTCCAGTGAACATGTCCAGTGGTTGAACGTAAACAAACCGAAGACCTGCAGAAACTGCATTCTTAGAAAGTCTTAAAAGACAGTCATGTCACCCACCGTTTGATTGACAGGTGATCCATGTGCATTCAGCACCAAATATACAAACCAGACTCACCTGTTTGATCTTCCCGCGGATAAGGTCATGGAGCTCCTTCATCAGTTTCTTCTTCAAGTCGTCGTTGCATTTCTTCCTGTTGACACACATACACACACCATCGCCCGTGAACGAGCAGTCTGCAGCACAGCATTCATGTTACAAAGTGAGTTACTTGGAACGTGGGCTTGCACGTGTTTGATTGGTCAATCCGATGTGCTGCCAGTACACTCTGTCATATCCCCCCTTTCCGAGTCCGATTACCTGTAACTTTCCGAACACGATGGTATGAGACTCACACCCGCATCTCACTGATTGGCCAGCTGTAGTTCTCTTTTGTTGCGCAACCATTGCTGTCACGTTTAATGTAAACAACCAAGTGCAACATGTTCAATGTCTTTCCAGGAGAGACATGTCTTATTTTGTGAGTGACAGTGTGTTTAGTTTACCTTCTGAGGTCTCCCCACACTCGTTTCGCCTGACGGATGATCTCGAACATGTCCTTCCTCTCCGCCTGCTGTCTGCTGTTCTTCAGGTCCTTCTTCCTCTGCTGCCTGTTCTTCTTCAGCTCCTCCTCCGTCAGTTCTTTCGTCTTCGGCTTAAACTCACCTTTCTTCATCTTCTTAGCCACCGGACCTGGTCACACGCACGCACACAGAAATCACTAACAATGTTTTGACACTTCAAAATTAATCATCGAAGATGCAGGCTGAAAGAGTTGAAGTTTAGACACTATTACTTTAAACAGAGCAGTGAAAGAGGCAATGACAAGCCCATGTGATTGTGTCCTTATGTCCTAAATTAGATTTCCCAGTTCTCAGTGTGTGTACAATGTGGCCAGAATGTACAACGATAAATATGTACCCCAAATTCCCGTTATTTAATAATATTCATTTTCAAAAACATTTCTTAGATAAAGTGCTGCTAGAAAGTTAATGAACGCTTTAGAATTGTCTGTATTTCTGCAAAATGACATCTAAAATGTGATCGGATCTTTACAGAAGTGTTTTTAGACGTGTTTCCTCAGTTATGGTCATCCTACTTAGTCAAATCAACGCCAAAGGGCTGAACAGTGTGAATAGTGTGGCTTCAATATTTTATCATTTGGAACAGATATTGCATCCAAGCTGACCTTGCTGCAGAATTTAATGACATTCCCTATACTGCAGGTTTTTTTTCCCCCTTTACTTTAATGTCCACAAGTGATGATGAGACCATGTACAACCCCAATTCCAATGAAGTTGGGATGTTGTGCAAAACGTAAATAAAACCAGAATACTTTCATTTGCAAATCCTTTTCAACCTATGTTCAATTTAAAACACCACAAAGACAAGATATTTAATGTTCAAACTGATAAACTTTGTCTTTAGCAAATATTCACTCACTTTGAATTTATTGCCCGCAACAAATTCCAAGCTGGGACAGGGGCAACAAAAGACTGGGAAAGTTGTGGAATGCTCAAAAAACACCTGTTTGGAACATTCCACAGGTTAACAGGTTAATTGGAAACAAGAGTGTGTCATGATTGGGTATAAAAGGAGCATCCCCGAAAGGCTCAGTCATTCACAAGCAAGGATGGGGCGAGGTTCACCACTTTGTGAACAACTGCGTGAGCAAATAGCCCAACGGTTTAAGAACGTTTCTCAACGTACAATTGCAAGGAATTTAGGGATTTCATCGTCTACGGTCCATAATATCATCAGAAGATTCAGAGAATCTGGAGAAATCTCTGCACATAAGCGGCAAGGCCGAAAACCAACATTGAATGCTCGTGACCTTCGATCCCTCAGGCGGCACTGCATTAAAAACTGACATCAGGAACACTTCAGAAAACCACTGTCAATTAACACAGTCATATCAACAACACCCATGACGCTGGCTTCTCTGGGCCCGAGCTCATCTGAGATGGACTGACGCAAAGTGGAAAAGTGTGCTGTGGTCCGACGAGTCCACATTTTAAATTGTTTTTGGAAATTCTGGACGTCGTGTCCTCCGGGCCAAAGAGGAAAAGGACCATCTGGATTGTTATCAGCGCAACCATACCAGCATCTGTGATGGTATGGGGGTGTGTTAGTGCCTGTGGTATGGGTAACTTGCACATCTGTGAAGGCACCATTAATGCTAAAAGGTACATACAGGTTTTGGAGCAACATATGCTGCCATCCAAGCAACGTCTTTTTCAGGGACGTCCCTGGTTATTTCAGCAAGACAAGCCACATCCTGCACGTGTTACAACAGCGTGGCTTCGTAGCAAAAGAGTGCGGGTACTAGACTGGCCGGCCTGCTGTCCAGATCTGTCTCCCATTGAAAATGTCTGGCGCATTATGAAGCGCAAAATACAACAACGGAGACCCCGGACTGTTGAGCAACTGAAGTCGTACATCACGCAAGAATGGGAATGAATTCCACCTACAAAGCTTCAACAATTGGTGTCCTCAGTTCCCAAACGCTTACTGAGTGTTGTTAAAAGGAAAGGTGATGCAACACAGAGGTAAACATGCCCCTGTCCCAGCTTTTTTGGAACGTGTTGCAGGCAACAAATTCAAAGTGAGTGAATGTTTGCAAATAACAATAAAGTTTATCAGTTTGAACTTTAAATATCTTGTCTTTGTGGTGTATTCAATTGAACATAGGTTGAAAAGGATTTGCAAATGAATGTATTCTGGTTTTATTTACATTTACACAACGTCCCAACTTCACTGGAACTGGGGTTGTACATAATGTTGTTGTGAGCATATATTGTTGTATTTTCATGTGACAACACTGAAGAAATGACACTTTGCTACAATGTAAAGTGAGTAGTAGTAGTAGTAGTAGTAGTAGTAGTAGTAGTAGTAGTAGAGTGTACAGCTTGTATAACAGTGTAAATTTGCTGTCCCCTCAAAATAACATATCACACAGCCATTAATGTCTAAACTCCTGGCAACAAAAGGGAGTACACCCCTAAACTTGAGGGGTGAACTCACTTTTGTGAGATACTGTATATACAGTATTATAGACAGACAGGGACAAATCAAAATAGTGGAAAAACATGAAATGCAGGTGCTTCCGTCCACCAGGGCTCACTGAATGGTTTGGTAAATTCGAAAAGGATGTGAATGAAATTCTACGGTCACCACAACTGGCATGTAGGACTTGGTGAGGGCTACTTGTGAATCCAGGAGGAACACAGACACAAGGAATGGTGGGTAATAACATCAGCTGGTCAAAATGTTCAGCAGGAGTGAGATATACAAAACCACATTGGAATCTGACACAAAGACAAAAAGCGTCGGGCAGATGTTTTCTCACCTTCACCCTCTTCTCCATCCTTTTTGGCCTTAAAAGACGGTTTCCTCTTCTGCAGCCCCTTGTCAACTTTGGAGAAAGCAAATTTGTGTTTTGTCTTGCCACCATCTCCACCCTTCCCCGGTCTGCTCTTCTTCTCTGCGCTGTTGTACGGTTTAAAGGGCTTTTTACCACCTGGCTTCCCACCAAGTTTGGTCCCTATGGAATCTGGACAGAGCAAGAAATGCCATTAACAAACCTGGTTGACAGTGATGGTGTACATGGCTGCTTAATGTAAATTACAGCTTACCTTTTCCTTTCTGTGTAAACTTCTTTCCGCCTTTAGGAGAAAAGGGTTTTTTGGATTTAGCCTCCATCCTAACGTGTGTCTTATAGAGAAATGGAGACGAGGACAACAGCAGAAAGAAAGACATCCAAGTAATGAATTATAAATCTGGGCTCCAGTTTTACACGTCAAAGTCCCTCTTATTTCCAGGCCTATTTTCTGTCACTAGCGATTCTGTGGCTGAACAGCAAGTCCACAAAGCTCTTGGTGTCTGCATAAAAGAATAACTAATATAATATATTTCAAGACCAAGTATCACAATCAACTGCTGTAATTATCATAAACTTAAATATTTGGACAAAGCTTGCAGAGAAGTTTCTTTAGATCTTTGCCTGCATGTCAGTATGAAGGAAGTTAGATGTATATAGAACAGGTAAATGCAGAAGATCAATATTAAATCGAAGCTTTTTGGGATCAACATAGAGACAAACATTAGGTTGGGCTTCAGAAAGCAGAAATATGCATTTTGACTTTAAGAACTAAAATGTAAGGTGTTACGTAACATACTGTTAAAGAGTCAGAGAAATATGTTACTAACATATAACATATGTAATATGTTGGCTAACATCTAACTTAACATTGAAGAAACTATTTTTCACGACTACTTACTCTTTTGATCTTAAAGCACATTTTAATGTTACTTTCATATTTTCATGATGCACATTTATGTCATTTTTATTTGATTCGTTTTAGATTGTAATGTTATTGTCGCTACTATCACTTGGCTAAAGGGTTTTGGTACTTTTTCCATATCTTGTTAGCTTTGGTAATAGCAAAAATAATGGATGTCAACAAATATTTTTATACTATCGATAGCGCCACGCGCCTAAACGCAGTTTTTCTGTACTGTTAACGCGAACAATAACAAGATATACAAGATCTTTACTGGTGTAACTTACATTTAGACGCACTCACACACGCTGCGCCAACCTCAGTCCCATGCGTTCTGTAACCAACACGGTTTACGGCACAAAACGTCCAATCAAGCTGAACCTTCGCTGCCGTAAAACGTCAGCTGTTGTCCTTATTGTCGAAAAATAGTTGAACGTGCACATTTAACGTTTATATATCACAATATGCAAAACATGTTCGGCTCAGCAGTCCTACAGTTTATCGAAACAAAAATGGAGTTCTGTATCTGTCAGTAGTGAGCACAGTATATAAAAAGTGAACCGTTTTTCCGTTCGATTGAGAAGCGGCCATGTTTGTTTATGTGTCATTTAAAGAGATAGACGTCGTCACTATGGTTACACCGCATCCAGGAAGGAGTTCAGCAATAAACTTTTGAAATTGTTCATATATTAGTTTGGGCCCATTTTATTTTTTTTTATTTTTTATTTTATCCTACGATTATAAATATAATCACTGACGTTAGATCATTATAATTCTACAATTTAACAACATGTCTTGTCTGTGGTTTGATCCATACACTGTTTATAAAAAGGTTTGATCCCAAGATAAAGCAACGCAAAGGATCACATTTGCTATGGAGCATGAAGAGGGTTTGGTTGAGAACTACATTAACCAGCAGGATTTGGATCAGCGTGACATTCCTTGTTGCCTGGCAACTCCTCCAAACTAAAACGGCAGAATCGCAGAGCCAAATGTAGAAGCAAACATGTTTTACTAGCTAAGTGTTGGCTTAACTGAAAATCGAGCTGCTAGAGCTGTATTTTGCTTTGTTACCACATTCACTGCTCTTGAAAGCTTAACGCCAGTTTGGATGTAGCTTTGAATAACGTGAATAAATTTACAGCGCAGACATTTAAAAGCGGAAATGTCGGAAGAACACACATCTGCTGTTGGTGGACAGGCAGTGATCACGCAGACAGATTCAGGGGAACACACTGAAGGTACACTGTAAAAATTATCTAGGTGGTTCAACTTAAAAACTTCGTTCAATTGCTGCCTTAAAAATGTGAGTAAACTCAACTTTAAGAAAAGCTTTGTTTCAACTTATGGTGTTACATTATAAAATTCGTTTAATTAATGATAATTTAGTGTTTCAACTTAATACTGTGAGTTAAAACAGCTATCTATATTACATTGTCCATTCAAGGAAACTTGCTTTCACTTGTCTAACAAACATACAATTCTACACCCCTTCAACTCACATTTTTAAGTTCAGATAACTCAACTTGAAGATTGCCTTTGTTTCAACTCATAAATTTAAGTTCATAAAGTGGACATAACTACAGTGTTGTCCCAATGTTTGAGTTATTCTAACTCATAGTTTCAAGTTAAAGCAACTTAACCAAATTAACACTACTTTCCATTTCAAGTTAAGGGATTTAAATTCCAAATTTGTTTCAGTTTACATCTATAAAGGGCCTTGAAGACAGACCACAACAACAGCACCACTGTGCTATTATCTTCAATGACTTGTGACGGGGCAGGGCAGCTTGCTGGTGCGATTGTGCACGCTGCAGTCAAAGTTCAAAATAGCAGCAGATGTCACCTCCTTTCTGAAAGGGCCTTAAGGCCGTTGTCTGGAACCCTTTCCACCGGTCGCACTAGTTTTGTTTACCACAGAAGTGTCTATATTTTGGTTGGAATTTGAATATATGACTTATCTGCAGTGTATAATTAGCAGGGGTGAGCAAGAACACCAAATTTTCTGTATCTGTACTCAGAATTGGTGGGGCTTAATCTATAAGTGGGTGGTATAAACTGGAAGTTATTTAAGCCTGAAATTTCTATCAGCTATCTAACTTGCTATATTTATTAGAAAAGCATTTACAGAACAGCCTCAGAATTGAGCTTCAGAGAATAGTAATTGATTTTTTTATATTCATATATTTATAGGTTATAACAATACAGATATTGACACATTTTACTCTGATGATACTCATAGAAAGTATCTGTACCGGATACTCGTTTTAACCGAGTACTTGCTAAACCCTAATAATTAGTTGATTATGTATATGTTTTTCTCAAACTCAAAAGACGCAGCGCCTAGGCAATCCTCATACTCTCGCCTTTTTTTTCAACTGATAACTTACATACGTAAGTTCAATCAACACGACAAAAGTGTCAAATAGTCAACACAATGAATTAATGCAAGTTTAACATTCGAAAACTCATACAGTTGAGTTCAAAATCCAAAACTTGTCAGAGCTATTTGAGTTAAAAAGAAGAAGTAAGTTGACATGACTAAATGGGTCTATGATTCTTTTCAGTGTAGAGAGCATAATCATGTGACTTTAATTAATTGACACCTAATAACATGTCTGAAGAATGAATGCAGTTGAATCGTCGGGTGAAGAGTAAAATATGATCAGCTGAAATGTCAGTTGAGATGTAAGTTAATATTTAATGGTAAGACTACAGTAGTTGGTTGAAGACAGTTCAAGTGTGTGCACAGTATACCAGTTGAAACAGCAGAAGTCTAAGATCTGAAAGAAGAAGAAGAAAGAAGAAAATCGGTTAATTTACATAAACAGCCTAATAACTCCAAGTAGCATGTACAATTGTGAGTAGAAGCAATTTTACTAATAGATAGTCTTAAATCGACAAAGTTTTTAAATATTTATAATGTTCTCTCCTCGCAACCCAGTAAAGTCTCCGATGATAAGATGTTTTTCTAGTCTCGGTCATGACCCAGCCATAAAAATGTACATGTTAATCCAGTGATGACTGAAAGCTGTCAAATGTTTCCTCCCTCACAGGATGTGATACTGAAAACTCAATGATGCAGCAGAAGGATGAGGAGGAATCAAGCAAGCAGCTCTCTGCAGAAATTTACTATAACTATGAGGAGCTTCACTCCAGACCGTCCATCACACCCAACTCTGAAATCCCAGAGAACCTCCTGCACCTCTCGTATCCTTCTTTGAAAATGTGTTTTATAAAACTCTTTTAACACCACAGCTCTTCTCACTTTCTCTCATTATACTTGGCAAATAGAGGCAAAGAAACATTTAACACAAGGACAATCACACAGAGTTTGTTCATTAGTTTTTCAACTTCAAATTCAAATACAAATGAAATAAGAAATTAAGGAAGTGATAACATTAAAATGCCATATACAATATATCTATTAATATCTTAGACTATATTTGATAATTGTGAAAATACTTGTAGCTTGTATACTTGTAGCCATTATGTGTATACTATTTATAATATAAGTACATAGATATAAGTATGACTAATAAATACAACAGACATGTATACGTGCATAGTGTTATATATATATGTATAGTATATTTAGGGGCCTACAATACACACACAATACAGTAATGATACAGTACTATGAAATATAGGTAATAGAAACTGAAAATAATCCTTTGGTATATGATCTAGTTGATAATAACATTATAGTTGTAATATAGTTTTATTATATAGTGATATAATAATATAAACGCGATTATTATTATTATTATTATTATTATATTATTATTATTATTATTATTATTATTATTATTATTATTATTATATAATTATTATTATTACATTATCAAAGGCCCCATAATAAAATAATCTAAAGTAAATCTTGTGTAAAGCTTCAGTGAATCTGTTCTTGAACCCTAATTCGTCCACATTCAGTCGCTCCTTTGGCTACGACAGCGGGCGCAGGGGGAACCTGCAACTGCTGGATGACAGAACTCTGATCTTTATAGCAGGTAACCTGCTCGTCCTTCTGGACATTTCCACCAAGGAGCAGCGGTACCTCCGCTCCTGCAGTGGAGGAGGAATCGGCTCCATCATGGTAAGATGGCTGACAAACTGCATGCGAAGAGTCACTCTGGGGCTGCAGTCTGTGATTGAGTGCAGGGAACACCTGAGTAGCAGTTTGAGCATTTATACTTTGACTTTGCTATTTTTTAGAGGGAAATACTGCAGTATCCATTTGTTTTACAGGCAGAATTACAATTAGATGTATTGTTAGAGTATAAACTAGAATAATGGAGGATCACCTACAATGTTAAAGTTTACTTCCAAGTGAAAGCATCAGTATCAGTAAAGCAGCATTATATGTTATCTATATTACCAAATGCTAGTTAACACAGAGTAATACTATATTTGATACAAAATCACATTTCTATTGATTATGTAAGAATTGGAATTTGGGTCGCTACATTGCGACATGTCTATTGTTTATTTAAAGGCCATAGCAGGGTTTGCATGTTTAGCCCATTTCCAAAAAAATCATATAGCCTATGGGGAAATAGTGTGTCATCACATTTGATTTTACAGGAGTATGTATACTTGCAAGAGTATGCTCTGTGATCCCTCCTACAATATATGACATGATGTAATATTCACATGATCCAAGTAAAGAGATTTAACAGTGGCAGACGCTGTGCTAACGCTGTGCAATAACTTCTTAATTGTTCGCTGTCCCTGCAAAAACAAACAATAAAACAAATGAAAATGGATAGACAGGGATGTGGAGTAAAATGCATTTCTGGTATTGCTTTAAAAAATGTATTCATTTCTTTGTGTGTGTCAAGGCACACCCTAGCAAGGAATACTTTGTTGTAGCAGAGAAGGGAAACCAGCCCAACATCATAATCTATGAATATCCCTCATTACGACTGTCCCGCATCCTCAGAGGTAAATGAGACCAATATGAATTGAGTTATACCTTTTTCAAATGTTATGTTTCCATTTATTTGATGAACCTGTTTTAACTTTTGTGTCTGTAGGCGGTACAGAGCGAGCGTACAGCTTTGTGGATTTTAACCATGATGGGAGCTTGCTGGCTAGTGTGGGGAGCGCACCCGACTACATGCTGACACTTTGGGATTGGAGGAAGGAGGAGGTCATGTTGAGCTGCAAGGCCGTTTCTCAGGAGGTCTACCGAGTCAGCTTCTCCCCATACAACCCAGGATTGCTCACATCATCAGGATCTGGACACATCAAGTAAAAGACATACTGAATCCTCCTAACAACCAGTAACCTTTTTCCACAGTGGATTGCTAGCAAATGCACACGATGGCTAGTTTGGTAGCAGAAACTGCTGAAACAGGTTTTTGTCTCTGCCCATGAGAATAAAAAAGCCAGTTGCTTTTGTTTTCATTTGATGTCCAACAGTCAAACAAATCCATCAGAACAGAGACCAATGTCTTAAAGATTTGAGAAACAGGGGAAGGTCATTTTGGCAAGAACAAGGGATCCAAGCCTCAGACATTAAGCTCATTAAGATAAGCATTTATATATTGAGGGGCAGAAAAAGGTGCCTTTAAAGGAACAGTTCAACATTTTGGGAAATGTGCTTATTTGCTTTCTTGCTGAGAGTTAGAGGATAAGGTAGATATCTGTTATATCTTGTTTGTTTAATGGGTACAAAAATCAATGTAGAAAAGTGTAAAAACGGCAGTTTGTGGTTTTGCGGGGGATTATGTGCAAGACTATTTCTTGGCCAGGACCAGTGACTTCCTGGAGTTGTGTTGTCACCATGAGGGTGCATGCCAAGCAGCAGAGACTCCAGAAAATCACTGCTCTCCGTAACCTGATGTATAAACAAAACTTTTGCGGAAATGACTTCAGACATCAGAAGTTGAATTACTCCCATAAAGTGATATTGAATATGTTAAAGTTTTCACAGAAGGTAATAAACCCAATCTACTTCTCTCTATCAGGTTCTGGAAAATGGCTAGCACATTCACAGGTCCTAAATTGCAAGGGCTTATGGGACATTTTGGGAAAACTGCAGCGACTGATATTGAGGGCTACGTGGAACTTCCCGATGGAAAGGTCTGTTCCCACTGATCTACCAGTTAGGTTTGTACACAAGTCAGGAAGAACTGGTAATTTATCAAGCAAGACAGTCATGCTAGCCTCTGTTTGGCTGTACTTAGGAAGAGCGATGCTCTGAGCTAAATGACATAACATGCTCACAATGATAATGCTAACACGCTGATGTTTACCATGTTCACCATCTTAGTTTTGCATGTTAGCATTTGCTAATTAGCACTAAACACAAAGTACAGCTGAGGCTGATGGGAATATCATTAGTTTTGCAGGTATTTGGTCATAAACTATAGTTTTGGACAAATTAAAACTTTGACCTGATAATGGTGCTGGATGAAAAGTCAGGTGATTACCAAAGTTATCATGATTCATCCTGTGGTGATGATGAATGTCTGTATAAAATGTCATGGTAATCTGTGTAATATCTTGTCATGATATTTCAGTCTAAACCAAAAACGGCAGACAGATCTATTACCGTGGCTAAAACATACAATTTCCATACTTTTGTTTTTTACCAAACAATCTCACTGTAAGGTCTGCACAGAGCTATTCTGGAGCTTTTGACCGCATCACATGATTTTCCTCAGCAGGTGGAGTTGCTCAGTTGTCATGAAAATGGAATTTTTTAGCACTTATTGATAAAGGTCATTTGATCCCGAACAGCTACTGGGTCTCTGTCACCTTCTGTCAACAAGGCCAAACGCTCAATCACAAAAACGTTGGTTTCAGAAATCCTCTGTAAGACTCAAGAGAAACAATAGTTACTTCTGATCCTTCGTCTTCTCCTGTGAGGTGGTGTCCGGCACAGACTGGGGCAACTTGCTGCTGTGGGACGGGAATGCCATCAAGGTGGAGATTTGCCGTAAAGGAGGGCGGAACTGCCACACCGGGATGGTGCAGCCGTTTGCCCTGGAAGATGGACAGCTGATGACGATTGGCTCTGATGGAGTGGTCCGGGTAACATACTTATAACCTACAAGAATAACATACCCTCATAAGGCTTCACTTTTAGAACGTGTCTGTCAAGTTTGTCATCAGATATTTTTCTAAATAAAATAACTACTACTACTACTATAACTAAAATCAGCACTGAACACCTGTAACTGTTTGAGCGTAATTTCCACATTATTGATAGTTTTCATTTTTAACCATTCCTTGTGTCTAAATATCCTATGAAGGCAGGAGTAGCCATCCCTAAAACATTGTCACATTATATTGACATTTATTGACAGAGAGCTCTGCGGCCAAAGACACTGTGATATTTGACTTTGACCCCCCCCCCCCCCCCCCCCCCCCCCCCCACAGGGCTGGGACTCTGAGAGCATCGACACCGCCGACAGCAACAGCGACAGCAGCAGGTTTGAGATAGAGCCAATGAATGAGATGGTGGTTGGACACAACGTCTGCATCTCCTCTGTGGTGAAGAGCTCCCTACCTGACTCCTTCATCTGGTTTGCTCAGGTCAGAGGGCAGAGGGTCAAAGGTCACTAATTAAAACCATTTGTAATACATAATCTGGCCTCAAACCGATCAAATATCTAAATCTGATCTCTCCACTGTGTGGTCATGTAGGATTCCAGCGGAGCCATCTGGAAACTGGATCTTTCATTCACCAACACGGTGAGTTTTCTATACTGACATTTTGGCTTTAATATATGTTACGTCTACATTACACTTTGTTTATTTAAGCTCTGTATAATGCTTCTAAACACTTCTATCAATCTGTTATTGATGTACAGAATTGTTTTTGCCCAGCCTTCATATTAATTAATGGAGAGTCCATTTGATTTGACTGTACTGATTCTTCTACAGAGGCAGGTTGACAGATGTGAACAAAGGGTTCTGTACACAAGGATTTGACCTTTAAACGTTAATGTAGAGCTATGATTTTATTTTATTTTTTTAATATATACGTACACAGAAGTAAAGTATGTTGACAATCATCCTCGCTTTTTCCATGGCTTTTTCCAGAACTTTCATGCAGAAAAATAAAGGACTTCATCTGTGTTTGTTTTGATCATTAAAAAATGTCTAAAACTGAGGGATTTGATTCCTGTAAACTATAATGAACAGTGTTTCCAGCAGCAGGAACACAACAACATTTGGGCGTGTGAGGAGAAAGAAATTGTTAAAAATACTTTTAACACTGGTCTATTTTCAATTTAATTAAACTTAGCCTTCAATTACAAATGACATCCCAGGAGAAAGGTATAAAGTCATTTTATTTTCATGAAAGTGAGTGTTTTTAGGTAATACTGCCTAATGAAAAACTATGTTGCAAACCATATTGTGTCATTACATGTTGTAATGAAAGTTAAGGGTGTAATAACAGTTGATGTATGTTCCGTGTATGCAGACCCCTGATCCAGAGTGCCTGTTTTCCTTCCACGCTGGGGCGATCAAGGGCCTGGACGTGTCAAGGAAATCCCACCTGATGGCCACAGTCGCTCTCGACCGTGAGTCATACATTACCATACATGCTGTACATGTTTGCAAACACTCTGACACACACACACTATAACAGGTCTGCCCCTCGTCTTCAGGTTCAGTCAAAGTTTTTGACTTCCTGGCAAAAAGAGAACTGACCACTAGTCGCTTCAATCAGGGAGGAACTGCTCTCAGCTGGGCTCCACCATTGGTAAGTGTGTCAGTGGGAGAATGTATCATGCTACCAAATATGATGTGTTCTGACAGAAAACTGAGCTGTGTGGCTCTGGTGTTTGTCTTTAGGTGAACCAAACTGGAGGTTTACTGGTGACGGGCTTTGAGGATGGGGTTGTCCGGTTACTGGAGCTGTACGACCCTCAGAGGCTGCATTTGGTCACCGGGCGCAGACCCAAAGGAGATGCCAAGCTGCGCCTCAAACAGGCCTTCAAACCCCATAATGCCCCTGTAACTGCTGTTGCATTTGAGCGAAATGGAGAGATCTTAGCCACAGGGGTAAGATGTTTCCAGGAAAACTGTTTTTGCAGTTTGTCAAAAGGGTTGCATACTTTCATATAACAAACTATAGCTATTGTGCTTCTTCTGTTCATTAAAATACCTTAACACACTAATTAAAGGAATCATAAATATAATTATTATATCAACATGTAAAGCTTTAAAGTCCCAGTTTGAAGAACATTTTACTGGGGAAACTCAGTGAAGAGTGTAAAAAAAAAAACTATATCTGTATGTTGCCAATGTGTCATGTGCCTTTGATACTTTTTAACAAAAGAAAAGTTCACCCAATTATGGCAAGGCGATGACGAGTTTCACTGATTGACAGGGTCACAATTTCTTTTCATGAGCAAAAATGAGACTGATCGCTGTCCCTGTCATTCACCTTTATCTGACAGCTTTTTGTGGTGAATGTAATTCACTAGCTACAGAAACAATAACAAACCTTTGCTGTTGCCTCACTTTCAATTTCATAACGTCCTTCAACGCACCTGGATGTCATTGGTCAAACGCTCATTTCTGACAGCGAAGGTTTGACAATGCACAATGTTACATTGTTAGAACCAATTAAAACACAAGGATTTAACAACCTGTTTGTTTTGTGTGAATGTCTAAATCAGTGGTCGGCAATAGGCGGCCCACGGGCCAGAATCGGCCCTGCAGCAATAATATCTGGTCCGCGGCCAGATTTCTTTGATAGCAGAAAAATAAAAAATAAAGACATTGATAGGGGCTGGTGCTGAAAGAGATCTCAGTCATGACGGATACAGTTACTGACACAATCACTTCGTCTTAAGTGATTGTGCCTCCAAAATAAAAGCGTGAGAACTTTTTGTGCAGTAATGCTTTATGACAAGTTTATTGAGAGCTTTTACTTTGAAAAGTTCTGAACGACATTCAAAAGAGACCCTGGCTTGCTTGACACACCTCTGAAAAAGCCGTCAGTAGAACATGTGATTGGATTCCCCTGAATTTCCTCAGGGAAATGAAAATAAACGTCCACAGGTTTATGAATGTGGATCAAACGCTGGGACGCACACACACTTTTGCACATGCTTTATTGTGAGCATGTGCAAAAGTGTCTTTATAATCAATATGTTTAACAAGGGAGAAATAAAATACCCGCAGTTAGTTGGAATGGATCCTACAACCTTCTAAACAGGAGTCCTGCATAGCACTGACTGAGCTGAACATGCACTTGTAGGCTATCTAAGGGTTTAAAATAACTGGACTATGTTCTGGCCCGCCATGTAACGGCTTGAAAAAAATTTGGCCCAGAAAATGCCAGACTTATTTGCAGACCGCTGGTCTAAATTCACATAAATTGAGCTTAGTATAGAAACACTTTATACTTTTACCCATCCTGTGATCTGTTGTTTCTGATGTTTAGTGCTATAGTACTGAAGATCAGTGGTAGAGATCTGTTTCCTTTTTTTGTCATTCATCTCACCTTTCTGTCACTGCCATCTTCCTGCTCAGAGCTCAGACAGCACTGTGTTCTTCTTCACTGTCGCGGAAAAATACAACCCCATCGGCTTTGTCCACGTTCCCGGGCCGGTGCAGGCGCTGGAGTGGTCACCTCATTCCCATGTAAGTCTGGTCTCCAACCCACTTGCGGCAAAATGTCTCTGTGATGGAACATTGCTGATTCAAACGATTTATTTTTATGATTTTACACAGAGTGAAAACAGGCTGCTCATCCTGTGTCAGAATGGTCATGTGGTCGAGGTTCAGAGTCCTGATCCAGAGGCCCACAAGCCGACCAAAACCTTCCAGCTGCCTGAAATACCCAGCAGAACTTTCAGGTTCAGGAGCATCAAATCTCGAATCAAGGTCCGGGCTTGGTCTGTTCTTAGCTTTAGTTTGTAGGGTTTTAATCGCACACATCCCTTTTTATGGCTGTATTATTGTTTTGTGATCTACATCATAATTAGTCCATGATTTTAGTGGAAATAACTTACTCCATTTCAGTTTCAGACCATTTGTGTTTTAATGTGTGTGTTTGTGTCTTTCAGAGAGAGGAGGAAATAGCAAGACGTCAAGCGGTAAAGGAGAAGAAGAAGAAAGCGAGAGAGGAGAGGTTGAAAGAATCAAAGCAGCTGGATGCAGAGCAAGAGGAAGAAGAAGAAGAAGAGGGAGAGTTGCCCCCTATCCACTTCCCCGACCCTCCAAGTCCTCTCTACTGTGGCTTCTACTCACAGCCTGGCCAGTTCTGGCTCTCCATGGTATACACACTAACAATAACTAGAATGTTCAAAGATATTGCATAGTAATAAATCAGCTAAAATCAAATTAAGTGGTCAAAATCAACAAGCAAGGAATTTTTACGCTGTTTGACGAAGAATCCTGGATGCAAAAATTTATCACAGAAATAATCAAAGAAGACATTTTGTCTTTTCCTTAAAGATTGATTCCATTTCTCTTTCCTCTCTCCTGCAGGGAGGCTTTGACTCAGGATTCTTGTATCACTGTAAGTTCTCGGAGAAGCAGGACCAGGATCCGGACCAGCGGCATGATGAGCCCTTTGACTTCCGGCCTGTCCACAACACAGACAACGACCCCATTCGCTCCATCACCTTCAGGTAGCAGGCAGACATTTTCAGCTTCAAACCCTCCAGTGTTCTCGGCGTAACGTCATTAGCTTTAGTAACCGCTCCTGGTACCATGTAATGTTCATTTCTTTTCAATGAACATACAGTACATTGTTATGATGAACAGCTGGCTTGTGCTAGTCATTTATTTTTCACCTCATGTTCCGGTGATAACCTAAAGTAAGAGTTCCTCTCTCTGATTTAACACAGTAAATTATCACAGCGCCGCCTTGTGGCTAGATGGATATATACCATGTTACTGAACATTACATAAACGAGCTCTGATAAACCCACTGTACATTACCAAAAAACCAAACAGCAGGAAGTTGGCAGCTAGTTGTTGCAGAAAGTGGAACATTTAGAAGCTAAAGAAACAGATATGTTTCACTGGAGTTGGTTTAGGCCAAAAAAGAGTTAAAAGGAGAGTGATTATTGGACACCAATGGGATGATATAATAGTATTGCTCTGTGTCTGCTGGATGTGTCAAAAGGCAAATGTATGCTTAAATGTTGGTAACTATAACTTTATAAGATCAGGGCTGTGTGTCTGTCAGCTTGTTTTGGAGTTTATCTGCCACCTGGTGGGCAAAAATCTTTTAATGCAACTTTAAGATTCAAGAGTCTTCACACAAAGACTTAAAAGATTTAAAACCCCTCTCTGGCAGAAAAAGTGTGATATAAGGCCAGAAATGAAGGAACTTTTCAGGAGGTAAACATTAGAGCCTCCTTCACATTTGGAACTATTACCTTAATAAAGTTTCCTTCCTGGTGTTTTGTTTTGGTCTTTTGTAGCTCCAACAGGCAGCTGTTGCTCTGTGGCATGCACTCAGGCTTCATCAGGGTTTACCCTCTGCAGCCTAGTGACCACTGCCTCACCTCCATGCAGGCCTACTGGGCTCTCAGCGTCCACGACAACCAATACGGACACTTGCGGCACATCCGCTGTAGCCATGACGACCTCTTTGTGCTGACGGCAGGTGATGACGGCAACATCTTCTCCTTCAGCCTGCTTCCTCCAGAAGAGCTACAGAAAGGCCTGCAGAGAAAGAGGGCTGAGGTGCCTTCTCCCAGGGTCAGTCCACATTTCATCAACATTTTCTTTTTTTCTTTTCTGTGTTTCTGTCTTTTAAACCACACTAGCATCGTGGCTCTATGGATGACAAAATCAATCTGTCAGTTGGGCAACCACTTTAATTCAAACTGAAGTATCTCAACAAATATTGGATGGATGTATCTAATAAAATATCTATTAGATAGATTGGCATTAACTTTTTGCAGCAACATCAGTTAAAGATTTCAGTTTGTCCAGTACTTTGGTTAACAATCAAATATCTACAAACGTAACGGCATTCCCATCAGCCTCATCTGTACTTTGGAAATAATGCTAATGAGCAAATGTTAGCATGCTAACATGCTGAACTAACAATTAGCATACCTGCTTAACATCATCATGTTTGCATGCTGACATTAGCATTTAGCTCAAAGCACCACTATGCCTAATACATGTCTGTAGACCTTTTTTTTTCCAAAAAAGTCTTTTTTGTAAAGCCCTCCGAGCTAAATGTGTCATCTTGGGCTATATTAAAATGACAATGACGACAACAAAGACATGCTAAATATCTAGTTTGGTTAAAACAATGACTCGACATGAGCCAGGGGGCTGAGTGCATATAAATGCAGTAACAAGTGGATTTTAACATGAAGAACATTTTGCAACATTTTCCAGCATTGATGTATTTCCTTCTGGAACAAACAACCTATACGATCAGTTTGCTGTGTCTGTCACAAGTGAAAACATTTAGAAAAACTACGTAAGCAATTGGGTTTTTAAACTGCTTCATTAGTGGAAGACAAAGGAGAAGTTGAGTGTTATTAAAACATTTTTCTGTGCGTGGCTGGACGGTTTTTGTGGACTTGGTGTTTTTCCATCATTATGTGCAGTTCAAATGTCTACAGGTGCAGTTCTACATCAGCAAGTTTTTAATAGAAATCATCCTTGATCAGAATTTTTGGGAGGCAAAACAGTATAGTGCAGGTTGGCCAAGTGAATGGTTGTAGATGAAATGAATGTTGTTTCAATGAAAAACGAATATCTTATTCATACCTTATTTTGACAGGTGGGTATTGAGAATGAAGCGTTAGCCCAGGACATTGAGAACCCAGCAGCCTACAGGTAGGTGTGAATAACCTGTAAGAGATCATTTGGTCCTCCTCTTTTTCTCTGTCACTCTATTCTTGTCTTCTGTGTAGCTCATTTTCTGTCTCTATTTAAGAAAGTTATTTGTACAGTAGAGAACTATATTGTCTGTATTTAATTCCTTATTTATTGGAATGTCTTACATTTAGTTATATCTATGTCTAGGTGTCACCGTAACTCAAGATACTCATGACAGTTTTATCTCATCTAACTTTCTGACCATCATCCTGACCCCCCCCCCCCCACACACACACACACCTCCCTCCAGCATCGAAACGGCTAAGCAGAAGCTGGAGAAAGACCGTCTGCGTCGGGAGGCTGATGTGAAGATTGCAGCGAAGCGGAATAAGCTGGCTGAGCTCCAGAAGACGTTCAAACAGCTGCTGAACAACAACCAGAGTCTGCCGGAGCATGTTCGCCTGTCACCTGTGGTACACACACACACACACACACACCTGGGTCATCCACTGTCAGCCTGTCTGACAGTTCATGTCATTTTACCATTGCAGCTGCTGTATCTAGTTTAATTTTAGAATAAAACAAAATTCACATCAGAAGTGAGATATCAGTGATGCATAAGCATCATTAAGGTTATGGTAAGGGTTAGGGATATTATAATGAGGTTTGGATAAGTCTCCAGGGAATTACTGTATGTCAGTACATGTCCTTGATTGTGTGTATGTGTGTGTAGGAGCTGCAACTGGACCGGCGGTTCAGTGAGCAGGCAGAGAGGGTGAAGGCCCAGCGGGTGAGGGAGGTCAGAAAGCAGATGGCCTGGGAGGAGGAGCGCTGCAGCATAGCACTCAGCAAACTACAGGACTGGTACTGACTAAACATACACACACATGCACCTATCAAATTCATAATAACTGCAGGAAGGTGACTTGCTGCATCACTGGTCTAACTGCAGGTAATAATAATAATTGATCATTATTCTATTCTAAAACTTGTCTATATTAAGACTTAAATTTGTTTTAGTTTTAGAGTTTACTGCACATGTTAAAATGAAGTTAAGAGTGGAAAAACAGTGTTATTGACAGTAACCATAAAAGAACAGAGGAACAGATAGGTTGAATATTTCCAGATGTATTTTTCTGAAAATTACGTAGAGCTTATCCCTTCTTTGGAGTGATGAGTTGTTACTGAAAATAAAAGTTTAAATGTTCTACCTGACTGAGGTTTTGATTTCATTGTGTTTTTGCCCCTGTGGCTTAGAAAGTTTGGAGGTAAAGACCGCCAGCCTTCAGAAGGAAACCCTCACCTCTTCTCCCCTGTTTTCAGGTTTAGGGACTCTCTGGAGGTCAACATGGTCACTGTGGTCGCCATCTGCACCGACCACAGAGTCTCCACCTACCGCCTGCCGACGCTCACCGAGCCTTTAACCCAGCTCAAACATCAGAGCAGACCCGGATGGCCTGACAGAGACGGAGCTGCTGCACCAGAAAGCAGAAAAACCAGAGCCGAGCCTGCAAAAGACTGCAGCACATTAGAAGGTAGGAAAGAGTTTGTGTGTTTGTTTCACCTGTCAAAGACATGCTTGACCTACCTGTGTGTGTGTTCTCCAGAGGAGGAGGTGCTGCGCCCACCAGTGGCTCGTCCAGCGGGGATAAAGCTGGCAGATCGACAGGTCGAGAGGCTCCGAAAGGCTGCAGAGAAAGCTGAACAAGCTCGAGCCAAGATAGAGAAGAGGAAGCAGGAATGGGCCCAACTGTGAGTGTCATGTCCAACAACATCACCTCAGTCCTGTGGGCTCAAATTAGATTTACATGGCATTCTCTGTTTCTCTTTTATGGACATGATGTTTATTGTATTCTAAAAAATCCATACAATGCATTGCCAGATTAACTGAATAGGGGGGTCAATGAGCCAATTTTGCAATGCTCGTGCAAAACTGTGAAGGACTGTCGGTGTCTCAGTTACGCAGAGAAGCCAAACGAGGACTGCGAGGATCCGCAGGATGTGCAGGCCATCAACGAAGCCAAAGAGAACATCGGAGACTTAAAGCTGAAGTCAGCTAAAGACTTCACAGTGCCGAAACACCTGAGGATGAACGCTGAGAGGAAGAGAGCAGAGCTAATAGGCCTGGAGGAAAATGTACACACCAACACACAGACACTTACATATCTTAATACACAGCTCATTTACAGCAGTCATCCAGTTTTCAGCAATATACTGCAACTTGTTCCGTCTATATGTCACACATAAACCACTTCATGAGATGGCTTAAACAAAGATTCATCAACAATGTAGTGACTATACAAAGCAAAACAAAGTAGTCGCTGAGAGGCTGAGGTAGGGCTGTGGTGCTGTTTGTCTCACTGCACAAATAATTCGCGGATCTCAAAAAATATAATCTATTGCTTTTTATTGATGAAAATCTATCTGCCCGATGGGGTTGTACAGGTGTGTAATTTAACTATACAGAAACAACATACTGTGATGATTCTGGCCTGGGTGGTCATGGATAATGTGTCTACTTTGCTATATGTACAGCTAAAACGATTAGCTGATGGCAAACCAAAATGTCATTAACTCCCTAGTACAGAGTCCTCAGCTTTTCTTTTTCTTATGTGTCAGTTAATTAAATATTTTTTGGTTTGGCACAGTTGTTCAGACAAAACAAGCTATTTGATGACATCACCTTGGCCTTTAAGATATTGTAATGGATATTTTTCACTATATTCTGACATTTTGTAGACCAAACAAGAACTCGATTCATTGTGACAGTAATCAACATATTAATCCATAGCTGTATGCAAAGTTATTTAAGGTAAGATTTTATGTGACATTATACCTGTGTCATCATCCTAAAGAGAGGAGGAAAACCTAAATCCATCAATGATCATCATCATCATCATCATCAATGATGAAAAGAGATTAATTTAATGACTCCTTCCATCCCACCAGATCCGTGAGAGGCAGACTAAGATGAATGGGCGGATTGTGGCATTGCGGGACTCCAAGATTCGCCTGGTCTCTCAGTTGCGCGCTCAGGCTCAGCAGGTCCAGAGGGTCCAGCAGTGTCTAGCGGCCCATCTCCACCGCTCTCCACCTGCCCTGCCCAACATACTACCAGAGGAAACCCCAGAGAAGAGACTGCAGTACAGCCACGCCACCCTGGAGCGATACCGGGTTCTGAGAGAACAGAGGTACAGGAGCCAGGTTTTAGTTTGATCCTAGACCAGGTCTAGGCAGACAAAAGAAAAGAAAAAAAATTAGGTGATTTTCAAGGAAAAGGAAGGACCTGCAGATCTATCAGCTGTCATACAGTATAATATCACTAAGGTCAAATCGTTGTAGTTTTTGGCTTCATTAAAGAAAAGGATCATTTTTAGATAAAATATTTTTTGGCACTGCAATATGCATAGGCTAGGCAGTCAAAAAGAAATTTATGTTGAGGGAAGTAATTTTTCCTACATAATTGCATTTGCATGCACCGTTTTGGCAGACCTTTTAATCCATCCACATATTCAACTCATTTTCATGCAGGCGTTTAAAAGGAAGACGAAAAACACAAAGTAGTCTTTCTGAGATCTGACTAGCTGACTTATATGAAGCATTCTCTTGGCTTTCAGACGGGATGATCACTTTAACTTCAAGCTGATAGAGCAGACTCGTTCACACCGACACGTCACTAGACAAAACTTGTGTACTTGCACTTGTGATAGTTGACTATCACTACCATTAAGTAATGTTATTTTATATTTCAATCAAGTGTACATCAAACCTAGCGTATTTAACCCTTTTAATCGACTGCAGTATCAGTAATCTGTCAAATATAGTATTAGCTTACGCTAAAACTGTGGTGGGTATTGTTCTGACAATACGTGCTGTATTTGATTATTTGGTTATGTGACTTTTACATTACTGGCCAACTGACCTCCATGCAGACACTGGGCTTGTAGCGCTGCATTAATTAACCCCTTAACGCCTGAATTTTTTTACAATCAAAAAATAAAAAAGATGATTTGTGTTTTCATTTGCTTTCAAGCAGATGTTAAATTAAGTGAAGATTGTTAATTTGTCTATAAAACATAGAAAAGATATAAATTCAGGTATGTGTAGGTTTGATGCAAATTAGCGACAACAGGCATAAACGAGAAACCAGGGCTTGCAAAAGGTTCCTAGGTACGTATCGAATATGCACCAACAGGCATTTGGAGAATCCATGTCCCATCTTGGCTTGCAGTCTGCAAGGAAGAGGTATGATGCAAATTCGCGACAGTCGGCGTCAAGGGGTTAACAACGGGTTGTTATGTTTGTCAGATATCAGTAAGCCTGTTTTTGACATAAAAAAATGAATTGAGGAAGAAGTGACACCTTTTATTGTAATTACACAACTATATAAGTTTGACCCTTGATTATAGTGTTGCCTTCATAAGAACACATACGTGTTCACACATATGTTTTAGAAATAAATAGAAATTTGTTCTTTTACTGAACTTAAACCTTGAGTTAAACCAGATCTAAAGTAGGTTTAAGTTAAACCTCAGATATAGTGACCTATACTGGTCATTTCTAAACCAAAGCTACGCTGATGACAGCAACACCCACATAATGTTTTGATTAGCTGCTGTTGGATATATTTAAATGAATATATCCATTTTTTCCATTTTCAAACAGATTCAAGTCCATGGAGCAGGAGGAGCAGGAGGGAAGCTCCCGTTTATTGGAGCAGCTGGAGAAAGAGATGGAAGGAGTGGAGGGAAAAGAGGAAGTAGAAGAGGAGAGAGGAGATGAGATGACTCCTGGTTTGTCAGCTTCATCTGTAACCAGAAAAGAAGTCAAGAAAGAGACAGACGGGCAGGAAGGAGCAGAGCAGAGCCAGCTGGAGGAGGAGCTCCAGAGAGAGGAGGAGATCAGACTGCTGCACGAGCAGGACTCTCTGCTGGAGCAGGTCTGGTATTTGTTTTTTTAGTCAGTGATGAACCTTTGATCTCTACATGCTGGTAAAGAAAGCTCAGAAATGTTTCTTGAGGAAGCTTAAGAAGGCCAAATTCCTGTGCCAAGTTCTTGAGGAACAGAGGAGCAATAGAAAGCATTCTGAGTGGAAACATCACAAACTGGCATGGGATGTGCACGGCCCTGGACCGGAGGGCTCTGCAGCGGGTGATTAAAACTGCTCAGAAGATCATTGGTACCCATCTCCTGAGCATCAGTGATATCGGTGAGGTGAGGTGACTACGCAGAGCCCAAAGGATACTAAAGGACAGGACCCACCCAGCCACAGCCTGTTCACCCTGCTGCATTCTGGGAAGAGAGATAGAAGTTTCTGCTGCCGCACCGCCAGACTGCAGAGCAGCTTTTCCCCCCAAGCTATCAGACTCTTAAACTCTAATTCATCCTCAGCACTGCTCCAGTTTATTTCTGTCTACTATTTTTTAATTGATTCTGTATTAATGTTTACTGTAAAGAAAATATCTTCTGGAATCTACTGAAGAGCTCAGGCTGACTATGGATAACATTGTGACATCATCTGTGGGGTGTTTTTTATCATCAGATGGAGAGATCGGTGTGTGAGTTTGACGCGGAGCTCCTGCTGCTGCGTCACCAGAAGCTGCGTCTGGACTGGGAGCTGAAGCTGGCCGACCTCCATCAGCTGACGCTCTACCAGGAGCTGCTGCTCCTCAAGGAGTTTGAGAGGAGGGAGGACAGCCTGCAGGAGAAGCTAAACGGACGCATTGGGGAGGAGAACAGCATCACGGTGAGAGAGGGTTTACGTACCTGTTCTCTAAAATATATCAATCATAGTGTTTAAGATGTTTGTTTCCCTTCCATAAGGCAACCTTTGGTTTTGATACTATCTGTGCAGAGTGTAAATATTTTATGAGAATTTCAATGGTGTAAAATACATTTACACATTTACTGTACCTGCTAGTTTATAGTTCTGTTCCACTACTTTCATTTAATTATAATTTAATATTATATATACTTTTTGCTCCACTACGTTTACCTGAGAGCTGTAGCCTAGTAACACGTTACTTTTCAGATGAAGATTTTAAATTAAAAAATATGATGGAGTCTTTAAAATAGTAGTTTTGTCTTCTTTCCTCCCCCATCAATCATCTGACGATCCCCCAGATTTATAATGTGACAATGTGGAGGGGCCTAAACCCCAGGTCAGGAACCACTGGACAAAACTAGCTAACTGTACATCACATATTTAAAACTAGCTCCACCTAAATGTTACTTATGGTGCATCAGGTTTAATGATCCAATAATATATTCTATGATAATAATCAGTCACAGGGGACATTTTTTTGATACTTTAAGTACATTTAGCAGAAATTTGTTGTATTAAGTAGGCTTTTGAATGCAGGACTTTTACTTGTAATGGAGTAGTTTTACACTGTGTTAATTGGTATTTTTACTCAAGTAGCCTACTTTTTCAACCACTGGAGAATTTAAAGTCTCTGACTTTGGGGCCTCCCAGTTGTAATATCAAAGTGGCAGACAGCAAAGCCTGCAGCTAAAATAAACACATAGGCTCACCGATCCTCACTAGGACTGTCTCAATTTTCTACAAACAAAAACTTTTGCCATCAAACAGTCAAAATTACATTTGAAAGTTGTTATAGTCACATAAATATTCTACCCATTATTTAACTCTTATTGCTGAATGCCAATGTAGTGAAGATTTTCAAATCAGGATTTAGTTTACACTGAATTGCAAGTCAACAATACTGTAACTGACAATAGTGAAAACAGCACAGTCGCTTTAGAGAGAATTCATTTGAATGTGTTTCTGTAAGGGAATGACTTGATAAGTCACACACACTGTTTGATTTTAAACTTGATTAATAGCACTGGGTTACAGCAGCTATGTATCCTCCTAAGTTGTAAAGTCAACTCTAGAAACTACTAATTAGTTTGTAACTAAATCAGCTAAAGTTGCTTCCATCGACATGGTGACAGTGCCCATTAGCTTTCTGGCTAGCATGAGCCACTTAGCGTTGTAGCACATTTTAGTACGTTAGATCAATGTTGAAATATCATATCAATTAATTTGGTCTGTACTGGATTACTGTGTTGCAAAATGCCATGCAGTTAATAAAAAATTAGGCTGCGGGGCAGAAAAACGGCACTTGTGTTACTATAAAGATGTTACTTAGAGTTATGTTGTCTTCGACCGCTTTTATTTCAGTAATGCAAAAACCACAATTTAGTCATAATTTACAGCCCACATTTCTTGTCCCTCTTAAGTTATTCCTATCAAATAAATAACCCACAAAAACTAATCTTTAAAAATAATAATAATAATTTACGTTGTTATACCTAGGCTAAGTTTGAACTTATACACAGTTGGTGCAACAGGCTGCAGGCCTGAGAATAGACAGTGGACACTAAGGGCATATCTACACAGGCGGTGTTTTGACCGCGTTTTTCCCTCACACATCTGACAGAACCAGCTGTTCTACACAGATGGAGCACTTAGGCTGCTGCTGTGTAGACACGGTAACACAAGTGATTCCCCTCTTCAGATCACTGTGAATATAACCTTGTGTACTTCTTCGTTACATCCTCCCCTCTCCTTCCCGACAGAGTAAGCTGGAGGAGTGTAATGAACAGCTGGATCTGAAGCTGGGAGACATAGCCAAGCTGCAGGAGAGAGAGAGGGCTCTGATTGCCGCCTTCCACACCTCGCTTGGCGAAGAGAACAAGTTTGAAGAGTTCCTGACAAAAGTCTTCAAGAAGAAGATCAAACGTGTTAAGAAGAAGGAGCAGACGGGAAGTGAAGGTAAGAGGAAGGAACACAAGTGGATAATATAACAAGTGTGTTGTGTGATACTCTGTGTGTCAATTTGTCCACGTGTCCTTTATGAGCCAAATGTGTGTTTGCAGAAGAAGAGGACAGTGATGAAGACTCTGATGAAGATGATGACTGGGATGATGATGATGATGATTATGACAGCAGCACGGAGGAGGGAGGACCTGCTCTGGACACTAATGTTTGCCCTCCAGGTCAGTATTGGTGGAGAAAATATTCAAATGCTTTTACTTTTTTCACAGCAAAGTAGAAACGTCTCATTCTTACCAGCGTTGCAGTCAGCGACCTGTTTGCGCTGCATCTTTTCACCATAAACTGAGCTGAAGTCGTTTCGTCCACTCTGTAAGTCATAACCCTCTTAAGATGAGGACAAACCTGAAGGCTATCTGACACCTACAAAGACTGGAAAACACATAATGTTTCGACCAACTTTCATAGATTTTTGAGTCTTTGACAGTCAGAAAGGAGCATAAACTTTTCCATTAAAAAGGTTGATGACTGAAATTATAAGGACAACTGACAGCGTCTGGACTTGAAGACTTCAGAATAGAATCTCTACATATCACACACAACAGGATTTTCTCAGCCAACTGTCAACACCAGCTGAACCAGACTGGAACAGACTGTTCCTGATCGCTGATTCTCAGTAGATGGGTTTTTCTTTCTGAGCTTTCTTCACCGGCATGAAGATGTGAAATGACCATGTCAGGTTCTCTGTGTTGATTCCCAGAAACCTGAAACTGTTCACCTGCTCCACCTCAGCTCCACTGACGTAAACAGGAGTGTGTGTCTTTATCTCCTGTTTCCTGAAATCAGCAATCAGCTCGTTGAGCAGTAGGTTGTTCTCTGTGCACCACTCTGCGAGATTGTCAGTTTCCTCCTGATATGTCACATTGTAATCTGGCTGATAATGGTGGTGTTGTCCTCAAACTTGACTAGTTTTCTCCAAGTTGGTCGAAACAGACATGTGGAACCTGACATCACATGTACAATATGAGATAACTTCCTCTCGTGTTAATTCTGAAAACCAAATCTTGTAGGGATCCCCAATGTGTCTGCAAAATTCTTTGTGAAAAGTGACAGTGCCACTATTTGCGACCTGTGGCTAAGCAGTACTGGCACATCATTTTTCTGAAAAGACAATTAGACCCGATCCAAAACCTGGTCCGTCTGAACAGACCTAAATAACATGATGCATGTCCTTTTTGGCATTACATCTGGACCCTACCTGAGCTGAATAAACTGAATATAATTTAATCCACCCTGGGACCTCATGTATAAGGAATCTAAGGCCTGTTGCAACTAGCCAATAATATCACATCGCTGGTGAGTTTATATGGAAGAGGAAAGGGAGATGAAAAACACACCATGGTGTGTTTGTGTTTGTGTGTCTCAGGCTGCGATCCCGTGTTGTTTGAGAACACACTGCAGCTTCGTGAGCGTCGGCTGGACCTGGAGGAACTGCTGGCGGAGGAGAAGAAGAGTGCTGAAGCTCTGAAGAAGGAGTGTGACACCCTCGTCAAGAAGGTCATACTCTGCTTTGCATCTTTCGGATATGTTTCCATTAGCATGTGCGAGTTTTGTCACTCACATCCTAATGTTTGTGTGTTTTGCTGGGCTCTGCAGAGGAAATCGGTGAAGGTTATTCGGAAGGCAGTTGAGGACGACTTGGAGTTAGTCAACAGGGAGAAACAGCAGAAAATGAACGAACTGGATGTGGTGGTTCCTCTCCGACTGAACCAGGTAAACATTCAAAAACTGTGGAGGTTCACTGATGGCAAAACAACTGAGTGAACACAAAACAAATTCAAGCTGTTAGTAAAACCCTAAATATTTTATTTGATGGTATTATTCTCCATGATATCACAGACATTTAAAAGCTTCAGCCAGACAAAAACAAGTCCAAAGAAACCATGGACAGGTAGAACTTGCAACCAGACAACCCTGCCTTTATTATGAAGCACATCTCCAGCAAAACACGTTCAAATTTTCTTCTAGTAGGTAGACATGCAACCCTGGCCGGAAACCAGAGCAGTGAGATTGTGTCTTATGATTGGTGCCAAATACCCAAGATTTCAATTGTCTGAGAGAATCCTGTCGTTATGAAAATGGCTATAAGATTTAATTTTTTATTATACATGGCGACTTTTCAACTGACAGTTGTTTCCATTATGAATTATTTTCTCACTTAAAGGTGGGGTGTGCGATTCAGGAGAAATCCAACATTATATATATAGCGAACAATGACAGAGCAAGTTAAATAGCTAACATTAGCTAAGTCGTGGGCTAGCAAACTGTAGCTGCTGCTAAGCTAACATGCAGAGAGGACGAGACAGTCTCAGAGCAACACACCAGCTCCAGACAGCGATACTCACAACTCTCCTGCTGCTGTAGCTAACATCACAACAGCAGCATGTCTTGGTGAACTAAGATCATGGCTGGAATGGCTTAAATAGTTTGTAGTTGCTTGGTACGAACCACTTTGTTTGTTTTCTACTTACAGAGCCAGAGCTATTTACAAACATCAGATTTTTTCTTTTTTCAAACACACTGAACGGGCAGCTAGCGGACCGTGAGGAGATAGTGAATTTGATAAAAAGATGTGGATTTGATAAGAATCGCATACCCCACTTTTAAAAGATTAGTTGTTTCAGAAAAGAATAAAGAAAAGCGCATCACAATATACACAAATATTTAAATTGCTTGATTTGTCAGACAAACAACCTAAAAACCAAAGATTTTAGTTCAGTGAATTTCTGCAGTTTCAGTGAATTTTTATCAACGGAGTTTTAATTATTTTAGATTTTGGAAGTAGTTATGCAAATTCCATCATGACAGTGGAAATTTTAATTGGAATAAAACTGAGAACAAATAAACACTTTGATTTGATTACATTATTTTAATATTGGCAGCCTTCAACCTACATACCAATTCACCTCTGTCTCCTGCAAAAGCCTTTTGTGAAACTCTGGTTTTGAGTTGATTTGGTACTTCAATTTCCTCATTGTATTATCTCCTGCAATTACTCTCTGTCCCGTTGGCTTCCTTCCACCTTCTCCAGATTGAATTTATCACTAACGGCTCGGTGCCGTCTGACCTGAGTCCAGCATTGGTGCTGGACAGGACGGAGCTGAGCAGGCTGCAGGAGCGTATCAAACAGTTGCAGGCGGAGAAGAATGAGCAGAGAGACCTGTACTATCAGGCCCGCCAGCAGCACGTCAGGCTCATCTATGACCGCAAGGACATGGACAGCAAAATCCAGGGTGAGACCCGCACACTACAACACCCTAGAAGAGCTCGAGCTCAAGAACGTGACATTCTTTTATATTTAAATGTGTGTTGATTGTGTGTCTGTATGTGTGTAGTACTGGAGAAGCAGTGCAACCAGCTGATGATGATGAAGTTTGGGAGGCTGGTGGATCTGGAGGCTCTGCAGACGCTGTCGGGGAACAGGACGCTGGAGGAGCTCAAACAGGAAAAACTCCTCCGAGAAGCTGCATACGCCAGGGAAATCAAACAGTGGGATGTACGCTGACCTGTGTGTGTGTGTGTGTGTGTGTGTGTGTGTGTGTGTGTGTGTACTTTGGCAGTTGTGAGATATCTGTATCTCTGTGTTGTTTTGTTGTGATCCTTTTAAAACGTAAATGTCTTTTTTTAGAAACATCTTAGAATGGAAATAAGTAAGTATTGATCTTTTTTGGGATTTGTGGTTGTGTGTGTGATATTCAGGCGAAGGTACAAGAGGCGCGTCAGGCTCTGATGGAGGTGACCAGGTGTAACACGGAGCGTCTCCTCAGCATGACGATCCTCCTTGACCAGAAGAAAGAACTGGAACAAAAACTCAGCGCCAGGCAGAAGAAAATGGTAATTTTGTTGCATTAAATATATTTTTGTGTAATTTTAATCAAAGCTGGGATCTACAATGTTAATATTTGCACATGGATGGTAATATATGGTAATATTTTTTAATACGTGTTAACATGTTGTATAACCGTCACAGTGAATACTGTATATAGCAACTTTTACAGTATATAGATCGTGCACTTTATACATGTTGTTTGAGTTTTGTTGGCAGGAGCTTGAGAATTAAGAATTTCACTGCCAATTACTACTTCATTGTTGTTGTGTTCACTTGAGTTGTGTTTGTGTCCACCTGATGAATGTCCAATGTTGACTCTCCTCTTAGTTCTTAGTTTGGTGCTGGGCAGGTAGCACACTGTGATGCTCATAAGATCGCTTACACGAAACCAGTCCAAAAAATGTGGCATAAAATCAAAAGCGCTGCAGAGCTGCAGGGTTGGTTATAATTCTCTGTAAGTTCACCAAGTGTTCACCAATACTCATTTGTTTTGATCTATTATGTTAGTCGAATCAGAATCGTCATCCTGCCTAAAGTCTGATAGTCGAATCATGTGTGTTTTTGTGCACGGCGATTGTGAGCTGGGAGGGGCGGGATAACACATGGTGGCTCCGCTTTAATCTTGAGAAGCTGCAGAGCTGCAGGCTTTTTGAGGACCCTTTTCTCTCTCTCTCTCACCTGCCATTCACCGGTCTTGTGCAGAGGTGCGTGCATTCCCTGCTGCTGACAACTGCATGCACGTTGCGGTTCCTCGCGGGTCTATTTCAAGTAGCACAAAGAAAATATTCTTTGTGTGGTTCATCAACATTATCTGAAAGTCCCACGAGGTGCGACAACTCGGCACAACACCGGTGAAGCTAGGGCTCAGTCTCTTCAGCAAGTGTTCTTCTTCTGCCACTACCTACACGCTACACCCACACATGCGCACTGACCCAGGGTTAGGGTTACAATTTTGGATTTATTCATGCACCTAAAAAACATTTATTGAAAGACGTTGAGCACCCCATGCCAAAATGGCATGATCCTTACTGTTAGATTGACAGTCGAATCAGGCTCATCATCAGTCACGCCCATCGAAGCATCGAATCTTCGACTATTCGGGGTCAGCCCTAGTATGTGTGTGTCTGTGTGTGTATATATATATATATATACACACACACACACAGTGGCGGCTGGTGAAAAATATTTTAGGTGGGGCTGTACCATGTCCAGTCAGTTTCAGTAACCGTCCCAATACAATTTTACACAAACTGCAGGATACCAGTGCTCTGTGAAATAGTCATAAATGATTTAATGCCAATATTAAAAGCCTTCTCAAAGGCCCCGCAGAATTTAACACAGTCAATTATCTTTGATAAGACGTGCCTGTTCTTATCCATCTCTTCGTTGTGTCTCCTCACCCCAATCCTGTAGCCTTCGTCCAGCTGTGTAGCGATGTTAACTCTGCCTAGCATGGCTAGATCACCGTATTATCCATATGTGCCCTCGTACACTCATGTTTCTTAATCTTCTCTGCTAAATGTTTTGTGTCATTTACTCCTGTAACAGTCCATGTTGTATCGTCGTCCCCACTGTTTTAAGCAAAATACGGCATTTACATGATTGCATCCAGCTAGCCAGGGCTGAAAGCCTGTGTCTTGGGTTCTGCATTCATCATTGTCAACAACGTCACGTGTCCCTCTACCACCGACTGACTCACCTTAGGGCGAACCCTTCAGCCATCAGATTCGAGGAAACTGATTGGCTTAATTTATGTTGCTATAGGCAGATCTTGTGTCAGTTATTGGCTGCCCTGTTGTACTGCCTGGGCGATCTTTGTAGCGCCCCAGAAGAGATCAGTGGATGAGCAGGAAACTAATTTCATTCAGGCACTCAAACATAATTATTTAGCCTATATTTTATAAACTACACATTACTGTGCATTTTAAACACACATATGCTTAAAAAAGTAATTACTGTTTATTTCAAAAATGTTTATTTTAAAAAGAAATATCAAAACACTTTCCATCTGTCCATTTGCACACTGCATGCCTTTATTAATATCTGTGTGTGTCCAGGGCCGACAGTTCAAGGATTACAGGAGACGTGTGGACCAGGAGGAGATTGTGAGGCTCCGGGAGCTGGTGAAAACACAATCACAGCAGGCCGAGGCCCTCAGGAGAGAGATTGGCCTCCTGTCTCGTAAAGGAGGCCGCGTCCTGCCCCCTTGCCAGGCCCAGCTGCCCCCTCTCGCCCCCATGCCCACCCCTAGAAACCACTCCTACACCAGCAAACAAGGACAAGGGCGTTCGTCCAAACAGCTGAAAGTACAAAACTCACCCAGCAGACAGGGAGCTACTTAACTGAGGCCAGAAAACACGTACACCATTACTGTATAGTGAGATAACTCTGCTCACAAATAGCCCTTTCTTATGAAATTTTATTCTTAAGATTAAAAAATACTACTAATACTGATTCAGTTTGTTGACTACTTTGTTTATTCACAATTCCAAGTGTTAAATAATGAGGGTGCTTGATTTTGTCTTTACTGAAAGCTGTCTTCTGGTCTTTGGAGTGTGAAACCTTTTTTGACCCCCATGACTGTTCCTCTCGCATCACCCTCAGCTAATTAATACATTTTTAAAATCTTGAAAAGAAACAGGTAACAAAAGTAGGCATGCTTAAAGTAGAGTAACAGGATCTCTTTTCTTGGTTTTCGTTAATTGTCTTGCAATCTCAAGAAACTAACTCTAGACCTAGGATTCTAAATACTTTAATTGCAGACTGATCTACCATCTACAGTACATTTCCACTCACTATCAGGGTTTAGACCACTTAACAGCACCTTAACCAAACTAGTCTGGTAGTGATTCCTCAGTTTACTCAATCATAAGTATCAGTAACAAGGTACAAGGTAGATTTATTTATCACTTTACAACACAGGGTTGTACAATGAGATTAAGTTGCAGTTCCATTTACGCTACTCACAAAAGCAAACAAGGCAGAAACCACAAGCAGAACCATGGCTCAGGGTGGGCGGCCATCTGCCTTGACCGGTTGGGGGAGAGAGAGAGACAGAGAGAAGGAGAGAGAGAGGCAGCCTACACAACATACACACCGAGCATAACTAAGGGATGGTGCAGGACTCACCTGAGCCAGCCCTAACTATAAGCTTTATCAAAGAGGAAAGTCTTGAGCCTACTCTTAAATGTGGAGATGGTGTCTGCCTCCTGAACCCAAACTGCAACCTGGTTCCACAGGAGAGGAGCTTGATAGCTGAACGCTCTGGCTCCCAGTCTACTTTTGGAGACTCTAGGAACCACAAGTAACCCTGCATTCTGGGAGCGCAGTGCTCTGGTGGGGTAGTAAGGTACTATGAGCTCTTTAAGATAAGATGGTGCCTGACCATTAAGAGCTTTGTAGATGAGAAGAAGGATTTTAAATTCTATTCTGGATTTTACTGGAAGCCAATGCAAAGAAGCTAAAACAGGAGAAATGTGATCTCTTTTCCTGGTTCCTGTCAGAACACGTGCTGCAGCATTCTGGATCAGCTGAAGAGTCTTAATGGACTTTTTCGAGCAGCCTGATAATAAGGAATTGCAGTAATCCAGCCTAGAAGTAACAAATGCATGGACAGGTGAGACTTAAACGACATCCTGATCAAAGATAACTCCAAAATTCCTCACAGTGGTGCTGGAGGCCAGGGCGATGCCATCCAGGGAAACTATATCTTTAGATGATGCGTCACGGAGGTGCTTGGGCCCTAGAACAATAACTTCAGGTTTATCTGAGTTTAACATTAGAAAATTACAGGTCATCCAGGTTTTAACATCCTGAAGGCACATTTGAAGTTTAGCTTACTGATTAGTTTCATCTGGCTTGATCGATAGATATAATTGAGCATCATCTGCATAACAATGAAAGTTTATGGAGTGTTTCCTGATAATATTGCCCAAAGGAAGCGTACATAAAGTGAACAGGATTGGTCCGAGCAAAGATCCTTGTGGAACTCCATGACTAACTTTGGTGTGCAAGGAGGATTCATTGTTAAGACGTACAAACTGAAATCGATCTGATAAATAGGACTTAAACCAGCTTAGAGTGGTTCCTTTAATGCCAATTAAGCGTTCCAGTCTCTGTAATAGGATATGATGTTCAATGGTATCAAATGCAGTGGTAAGATCTAATAAAACCTCTAATAAAAAGTCCTTCGTCTGATGCAATGAGGAGGTCATTAGTAATTTTCACCAGTGCTGTCTCTGTGCTATGATGCACACTAAATCCTTACTGAAAATCCTCAAATAAACTATTGCTATAAAGTTGTACAACTGTTTGGCAACTGCTTTCTCAAGGATCTTAGAGAGATATGGAAACAGGTTTCTGTTCAGATTCTCTGTATCACTGCTGTCACTCACTGCTTCACAACTAGACAACCCTACATAAGCCTCCATGCATTTCTGCTTCTGCCTTTGTCTGATCGTAGTGCATGGCTCTGGGATCTGATTTGCTTCACAGAAGGTCTTAACTGTATCATACAGCTTTGCAGCCTTCTCATCTGTGTGCATCTGTTTAAGAGTGTCACACACAGCCTCCTTGTACTCTGCAGCCTTAGCAAAGGTCGACTGTTTCACTCTCCAGATATTTGTGCAGGTTCTCAGTTACAGACAGAAAAGTTATGAATATCATCAAGGCAAGGCAAGGCAAGTTTATTTGTATTACATTTGAACAACAAGGTAATTCAAAGTCCTTTACATAAAACATAAAAGCAATAGGGATATATAAAAAAGTTTAATAGTTAAAAATGCTTATTTTACTCCTTTCATTCCCCATCTCCCACTCTATCCTCCCTTTAGTTACTTAGGGACTCTAACCCTTCCTTAGATACAGTCGTCACTGTAAATTGAGATTGTCCACGCTACAAACTCTGATAAAATTGGTTGACAGCAGGCCCTGTCAACAAGTTAACAGCGGACAAAACGGGGACTCTAATCCTTGTAATTCTACTGGGGCCTGTAAACTGAGGATCAGCCATGTGAGATGGTGTGATCAAAAGAGCACTCTAAGCTTTTTAAATAGTGTTAATATCCATAAACAACGAAAAAGAAAACAGGACAGTAAAAGTTACACTGCAGTGTAAGTTGTCAATCTACTAGTTAAAGGCAGTGGTAAAAAGAAAAGTCTTCAGTATTAATTTAAAAGAACTGACAGTTTCAGCAGCCCTGCAGTTATCTAGGAGTTTGTTCCAGATATATGGAGCATAATAACTGAACGCTGCTTCTCCTTGTTTAGTTTTGACTCTGGGGACAGAAAGCAGACCTGCCCCAGACGACCTGAGAGGTCTGGATGGTTCATAACAAGGAAGAAGATCAGAAATTTATTTTGGCCCTAAACCATTTAGTGCTTTATAAACTAACAGCAGGATTTTGAAATCAATTATTTGACATACAGGAAGCCACTGTAAAGACCTCAGAACTGGAGTGATGTGATCCATTTTTTTGGTCTTAGTGAGGACTCGAGCAGCAGCATTCTGAATCAGCTGCAGCTCTCTGATGGATTTCTTGTAAAGACACTGTTACAGTAGTTGAGTCGACTTAAGATAAATGCTTTTCCAGGTCTTGCTGAGACATAAGACCTTTAATCCTTGATACATTCTTCAGGTGATAGTAGGCTGACTTTGTAATTGTCTTAATGTGGCTCCTCAAATTCAAGTCTGAGTCCATGACTGGTTTGATTTGTGGTTCTTAACATTACAGATTTAAGCTGAGCACTGACTTTCAATCGTTCTTCCTTGGCTCCAAAAACAATAACTTCAGTTTTATCTTTGTTTAAATGAAGAAAATTCTGGCACATCCAACCGTTGACCTGTTCAATACAGTTACTCAGCGCTTGTATCAGATCATAGTCCCCTGGTGATATGGTTATGTAAATCTGTGTGTCATCTGCATAATTATGGTAACATTTTGTTGTTTTTCATAATCTGAGCCAGTGGAAGAAATGTAAATGTTAAACAAAAGAGGCCCCGGAATGGAGCCTTGGGGAACTCCACATGTCATTTTTGTCAGATGTGTGATTACCTATAGACACAAAGTAGTCCCTGTCCTTTTAAGTAGTAAAACTAAACCAGTTTAGTACAATGCCAGAAAGTCCAACCCAGTTTTCAGGTCTGTCTAGTAATATGTTGTGGCAGCACTGAGATACAATAATACTAAGAGTGAAGTTCTGCCACTGTCAGTGTTTAAATGGATGTCATTGAAGACCTTAACAAGAGCCGTCTCAGTGCTGTGGTGTGGTCAAAAACCTGACTGGAAGACATCAACACAGTTATTTAATGCCAAGAAAGCACTAAGCTGTTGAAAAACAGCCTTTTCAATGATTTTACGTAAAAATGGGAGATTTGATATGCGCCTATAATTGCTCATTAGTGAACTGTCTAGATAGCTCTTTTTTAAGAGTGGCTTTTCAGGGCCTGTGGAGAGACATTTGTACTAAATCTGAGGCCATGCATTTAGACAAATTTGTGAAAAAACCTGTTGGCAGAATATCAAGGCAGCATGAGGAGGATTTCAGATGTTGTATTATGTCCTCCAAGTTTTTATGGTTAATAGAATCAAATTGTCTCATGCTATATGAATTGTTTTTAAGTGGACACAGGGACAGGACATATCCTGTTACTGACATGGAGGGACTGATTGCTTGTCTAATTGTTTGAATTTTGTCTGTGTCTGTGAAATTCATTGTAGGCCCTGGTGGATAGAAGTTCAGAGGCTACAAACACAGGAGGGTTGGTTAGCCTGTCGACAGCACTAGTGCACAAGTTCAGATGGCTGCAAACTGATTTTGCTCATCTCTGAATTTTTGATGGTTTACAAGTGAAAGACTGAAAAATGAGTGGAAACTTTGCAACGGGTCAAACAAATCCCTGGCTTCTGGTATTGCTTGACAGGTGTGACACAGTATCAAGTTTAGCTGATGTGCATAGCAGTACACATAAATGGCCTCTGGATGATTGTTTCTAATTCTGGCTTGGACACCGCCAACTTCACCACTCATAGATGCCGCACCATGTTAAGCTTGAGCAACACATCTAAGGTTTTCAATGCCATATTGTGCCAGCTGTTCTTCAACGGCAACAGTTATGCTTTCTGCATCAAATTTTCTCAATTCCATCATAGCCAACAAACACTCCTTCACTCTATCTTCAGTGACATAGCATACACATACAGCCAACGTGTTTCCATCTCTGGCTTCATCTGCCATAATCGAAAACATTCCTGCATCTTTTATTTCCCTCATAATAGTTGCTGTTACTAGAGACCTGCGCAGGACCGTTTTTTTTTTGCGACCATTACCGCCCGCTCCCGCAACATGTCTATCCACTCCCACCTGCACCCACAAACATTGTGACAAGCAGAGTAAAAAAAGGACACAAATATTTGGGCTATGCTCAACGTTCAGAATAACTGACATAAATCATT